CACATAAAGGGAAGTGTATAACATATGTAATAATTAACGGTGGTCAAACCATGCCAGATCATACACAAAACACTTCTACCTGCACCCCCTCGTTTAATCATCACAACAATTTATTTATAAAAGAGGCAACTGAACCCCAGAAAGCTTTGGCAGAATCCAAGTTTACTGATATTCAGATCTATGCTTTTACGCATGGTGAAGGAACTTTCTCCACTCATCTCTCCTACAAAGAATAAACTTATTTTTATAAATATGCTATTTGTAAAAGAGTAATGTTTTATTTTATAAAAGACTAACCCAAAATGCAGGCACCAAATAACATTAACAGTTAAGAATTTCATTGATTGCAGCTTGTCAGGCTGATTATTACATGCTCAAACATTTTGTTTTTAAGGTAGAGAAGAAGGTAATGTGTTTGAAAAATGTTTTTTATCTAAATACTATGTTTTATAAATTCATGGGTTTTTTTGAGGTAGATTTTTCTTATAACCATTTTTAAAGAAAATAAAAGATGGTCATAACACCTTTTATAAAATGTGATATGCATAATAATTTACCATCTTCACCATTTTTAAATGTACAGTTTATTGGCATTAAGAACATTTATATTGTACAGCCATCACCACCATCCTTCTCCAGAACTCGTCATCTTGCAAAACTGTAACTATTAACCATTAAACAACTCCCCATTCACCCTCCCCATAACCTCTGGCAACCACAATTCTACTTTCTGTCTATGAATTTGACCACTCTAAGTACTTCATATAAGTAGAATCATACAGTGTTTATCTTTTGTAACTGGCTAAACACCTCTTAAAATATACATTGTTGTTTATTTTCACCTTATGCACGTAGAGACTTTAGAATGACCACGTACCTACATGTAAAGTACAGTAATAGGAATTTCTTGGTGCCAGAGCATACATAAGTACACCAGTAGCCATCCATCTTTACCCTTTTTGTGCAAGCACCTTAACAGCCTGAGACATCTTTTTCCAGAGAGACGTAAAAATAACGTAAGTGAATAATTGAGCACATTATGTAAAGAAAATAGCTAGCCTATTTGTTGTTGCTTGTAGTAATTTAATTTAGTAAGAATCACACAATATTAGAATTTGAAAAGGATATTAGAATAATCCAGTCCAGCACTCTCATTGGACACATGAGAAAACACAAACTGGCAGTGACTTACCCAAGGTTACATAACAAAGGTAATGGTGGAACCAGTGGTTCTTAATTCCATGCTCTTTCCCTTATGTGTTCATTAATGTACTAATTAGTGTAGTAATTCTTATGGTGTAGCAAATTATGCCTTTGAATTTAAGAGATCAACATTTATAGAGTAAAATAAGTAAAAAGTTAATGTTTACATAAAACAAATAATGAATAACAGAAAAAAGTTACATGCCCTTAATTTTTGCATTAAAGAAAGGTTTATTGGGGATAAGTTCACCATTTTTTCATTAAAACAAAATGTGTTTAAGAGGACTTTTGACATACTAAATCCGTAACATGAGGTTTAATTCTGTAGCATTAGTGGGTTTTTTTGTACTAATGCTCAGTGTATAATAAAACATAGAATTGGTATGTTTCATTTTGTATAAACATTTTCTTAGAAAAGTTTGTCAGTGTTTAAAAATGTGAATAATGATTTCTGCTAGAATTGGTTATGCCATCCACTCAAGCTTCAGGGATCATGTAGAATACTCCTTGGCAGTTGTCTTCATACTTACGTAATCGTATACCTCATCAGTTAAAAACAATTCACACAGCTCAATTATGTTTGTTTATAACTTACGTATACAAACTACTGATAAATTATATAAAAGCTTACATAAAACAAAATTTTTTAAAGGATATCAAAAGCAATTTTCTGTTTTTCATTTCTGTACCCAGTGGATCACTTAATACACCGCATTTTCCTTTGGAAATCAAAGGGGTTGAGGTTTGTTTGTTTGTTGTTGTTGTTGTTGTTTGAGTCTCACTCTGTCGCCCAGGCTGGAGTGCAGTGGTACGATCTCAGCTCACTACAACCTCCGCCCCCCAGGTTCAAGTGATTCTCCTGCCTCAGCCTCCTGAATAGCTGGGATTACAGGCATGCGCCACCACGCCAAACTAATTTTTGTATTTTTAGTAGAGACAGGGTTTCACCATGTTGGCCAGGATGGTCTCAAACTCCTGACCTCAAGTGATCCCATCTGCTTCAGCCTCCCAAAGTATTGAGATTACAGGCATGAGCCACCATGCCCAGTGAGGATATTAATAATGATCATTATTTACCTAATTTAATGATACTCTGGCCTATTGCTACTGTAACTTAGAACAGTATAACATGAACAAATCCGGTATGATATAACATATTACTTTCATGAGGGTCTTTGGAATGGCAATTTTAAGAAGCTCTATAAAAATGTTACCAAATCAGCTAACACATATTTAGCAACTGCAGATAAGTATGAGATAAGACACAGTAACCATCTACCAGGAAGGAGCTTATAATATAGTTGAAAAGCATCTTAGTTAGATGTATGCTGAGTGTATGTAAAGATAACTGATAATTCAAGAGGGACTATACATAATGTCTTACATGTGTTACAGAGAGTAGAGGTATTCTTGGAGAGGAACAATCACTTCAAACCTGTGGGAGTCAACAAGGGCCTCAAGGAGGAGTTGCATTTTATTTATTTGGTTGGTTGGATGGATGGATGGTTGGTTTGGCTTGAGCCTTATTCTTTGAGTAGGCAGAAAGCTTGGAAAATATTTAGGGGAAAATGAGTGGATTTATTTTATTGAAACAGATGGTTTTTGTGAAGGAAACTAGTGGAAGGTCCACTAGGAAAGTAGGCTTGAGTCTTTAGGAGGACATTATACTTAGCCAGACTAAGCAAATTGGACTTTTTCTGTTTGCAGAAAGCAGATATGTAAGTAGTTTAAGAAGATGGATCTGCTGGCAATGTAAATATATTTTGATGGAGAGAGAAAACAGAGTTACACCAGTTGGCAAGCTATTATACAGTTCATAGTAAGAACTAACATTTGAGTGCCAGGCACTGTTCTAAGCACTCTTCAATTGTTAAATCTTACGAGGTAAATACTGTTATTCCCATTTCACAGGTAAGGAAATTGAGGCACAGATAATTTTCTTTCCCCGAAGATCACACAGCTGGTAGCCTATGGAGTCTCTGCCTTCTGGCTGCTGCTGTGGATCGTTTGAATGTAAACGAGAGTTCCGGCTCTGAATAGAAATGAGGGACATGCACACAGGAGACCAAAAAGGAGACCTGGGTAGAATTCAGTGGCCTATGTATGGGGCAGCTGGGGAAGTGTCAAAGATGAGCCAACCTCATTTGGAAAGGGGTGACAACATTAACCAAAACAGAGATGTTGAGATCAAGTGGTGAAAAGACAGTTAACTATCTTCCAGAAGCATTCAGACCAACAAGTACACAGACGTATCAATAACTAACTTCAATGTAATATCATATAGAAAACATGTTTAAGAAATAGTCAGTGATTTGGGGAAAGAGCCACCTAGGTATGTTTGTTTGAATCTGGGAAGTCATAACATCAAAGGTATTATTTGAGTTAAGCCTTGATATCTGCTAAATTGACAGATAAGCTGAAAGAAGATGTTTCAATAAAGAGTAGCATTTGAGGTAATGGTGAAATATCCAAATGCTAACATCTAGCTTTGGTTAAATCAGGAGGGAGAGCTCCATTCAGGAATCATCTGAGCAGTGGTGATACTTGAAGCCAAATATTCTAAAGTAGAGTATCTTGAAGAAAGACTTTAAGGCATAGAAGGAAGAAGATGCCAGTGAAGGACCTAAAGAAATAGGAAGGAAGAAAGAATATTAAAATGGAGAAGGCCAGGAAAGCAGGGCTGTGAACAGCCAAGTGGTATTCACTGACAGAGATGAAACCACTTCGTGATATATTTCTTTCTAGTTTTATTCTTTGTTTTTATTGTTATTGTTTAAAATTATTTCATAGTATGTGTTTTATGACCTGCCTTTTCAATGAGTGAATGAGCTGCAATTTATTTACTCATTGCTTTGGGGCATTTGGGTTTTCCCTTCCACTCTTAGGAAGCAAATCAGCTTGTAAAGGATTCTGGGGAATGAGTTATAAGAAAATGGATACAAGTGTAAAATAAATATCAGAAAGTTAGCAGTGGGTTTAGTAAACTGAAACAAAGATGAATTATTCATCTTTGCTTTCTGGACAGCTAGATCAGTGACTGATGTTGAATGCATGAAGAGAGAAAGAAATGAAATTTAAAAGTGGAGTTTGGAATCATGCATGATCAATGCAATAGTTTTTTTTATAGTAATGAACATTTATGTTTCTTAGTATACGCAGTACTAATTGTTTAGCCTTGGAAATAGGAGCGATACCTTTTCTTCTTGAGGCTGAGGGCAAGAGGTATGGCTTTTGTACAGATGCTTTCAAGATAAGAAAGAACAAAACTCAGGACCTGATTAGACTTACTCAGTATAGTAGTAGATGAGTCATCTGCTGAGAGTGAAGATAATAAGGTGTGATTACAGCTTGAAGAGAGTGAAAGCAAAATTTTACGTGTTTCTTTTGAAGAAGATGATGGTACAAGCAGCAGGAGGTAAATAAAAACATTTTTGGGTAGCAGCGACGACCCAGCTAGAAACCGATAGGATGGTTATGGCGCACAGGAGTGGTTCGGAGGGGAACATGGATTTATTCAAGAATAGTAGCCCCTCAATTATAAGAATTTGGATGGAAGACTGTTTTTTTTCACAGAGTACACTAAGTTTTTATAACCTTCTAGAAATTCAGAGCTGGAAGAGGAGATGTATTTAAGTTCAATTCTTGATTATATTAATAAAAAACAAAAATAGAAATTTTAATGTACATGTATAGTAACATCACAAAATGAAGAATAAGCATTTATTATGAGCATTGTTTGATAAAGCATAAAAATATTAACCTCATACTCCCACGTTTTACAGTAAGAGGTTACTCACCTTCATTGATGAAAGTTACCGGTGGTATCTTGAAAGGGCTTTTGGTGGGAGAAGTTGCCAGATCAGGTGGTGGCATTAAATCTCTAGGATAACCTGGATCCCTCTGAATCTCGTTACCTCCCAGCAGACCAGGAGTATACTGATGGCTGTTAGGAATATGTTGTGGCACCACCTGGACAAGTGGGGGAGACACATGGGTGTCTTGTCGGGAAAATATCCTCAAGCACTGTTCTTCCAACAAAGTGATCATCACAGATTGGTTATTGACAAGATCTGTCAAGGAAGCATATTTCACCTCTAGTTCCCTGTACCTTGTTGCCATCTTCAACATTTCTGTGGTGACATTGAGGATTTTGTTTTCCAATTGGGAAAGTTCAAGTGAATTATCCCTCTTACGGATAATCTCATGTAATAGTTGCATGTAGAGTTGAGTAACACGAGAGTTCATGTTACGGCTTTCCTTTCTCAGCAGCTTTACCTCATTCACAATGTTTCCATCTACATCCACCACCAGTTGCAGAACATCTATCTCCCGCTTCTGCCTGGAGAGCACATCCTTCAGGTTTTCAAGGTCCATCCTGGTGATCATGTCTTTAATGGTACTTGCATCTTGCCCTTTGGTGTTGACACAGATTGGCCCTGTTATTCTTTGTTCAGGTACCAGGAATGTGTATGCACATTTCTTTGCTTCCTCTTTACCATCTGTGGCGCGAGGGTATCTTCTCTGGTTTATTTTTTTAATTTTGAATTGTCCACCTCTGCAATGTCCAACGTCCACTAGTAGGAAGAATAGCACACCTAGGGTCCAGGTAAAAGCCTTCATTTTGAAATGAGGTTGTAAAATGATGTCTTTTGAAAAACAAATCAGTGAAGGGGAAAAAGCAAAAAGAATTCATGTTAATCTACATTAAAGTCAGTAATACTAAAAACTATCTGAGGGAAAACTGAATATTGGTGTTAATAAATTAGGCTAGAATTAACTTTATTAATTTCTTAATTTTAATATTAAGTTGTAGTACTTTGGCATTTGTTTAAAAATTAGGTTTCAGAGAATAGCTCTTTCAGCTATCCCCTCATTGTAATGCTTTTTGTTCCCCAGTTTATTGAGCAGATTTTGGTCAGTGTCCACTCTGTGCAAAGGTACATTGCTAGTGCTGTTGAGGCTTTTGAGACCCTGATAAGATAGCTTTCTTACCTTTAAAAAGCTCACTACCTTAAGACTATGAAAATGGTACACAGTGTTTGTAAGGCATTAATTAAAACATTCTTGTCTAACGAGTATTACAATTACCAGGTGACTTTACTAGCCAATGTTTTAGATTCATACCATGCAATTCCAATTAAATTGGTCCTCTGTAATAAATTATGTCTTCTTCATTAAAATGTTCAATAAAGTTAAAGATTTTAGACAAATCTAAACCCAGATAGTTTTAGCATCGTATGCTTTTTATTTTTATAGCATCTCCTTTTGGGATTAGTGACAGGTTTTAGAATGATAGAATGCTCACAGTCATTGTGGGTAATTATATTTCCTGAACCATAATTATATGTACTCTAAGCTTATAGATGATTCAGCAGATTTGTTCTTCTAACAGAAGTTCTACTGAACTGTATTTTAGTACAATGTTAGTAATTTTCTACATGCATTACCAAGGAAAGAAACATATCTGTAATTGAATATGAATGTCAGAGTTGGAAACGCCTTAGAGACCCTGTCATTCAAGAACCTCTTTGTACTCTGCATGTTGAAGGCTAAGGCCACACAAGGATTAGAACTAGGTCTAGATCGGGTTCTCTGGCCCATAGTCAGTATTTATAGCAGCAGCACATATACTAAAATATGTGCTTGGAATGTTTCGTTTTTGCTGTAGCAGATGAGAAATACTTCTTTATAGTACAAATTCTTCTGAGGTAACAGTTTCAAGAGCCAATACTTTTTCCTTTCTCTTTAGTTACCTCCCACAAAAGTAGCAGCAGTAGAATGGGTAAGGTATGTTCACTCCATCAGATCTACTAACGAGCTGGTCTATTACAGGCCACCTTTTCACTTTTGCGAATTTGATACCTATCTGCCATTTTTGAAGGATGGCAGTGGATACCCTAAGACAGAGCTTTTCTGTCCAAATTTCCACATAAGTACCTGTTTCTTGATTTAAGAAACCAACTCCTAAGTAGTTTATGCCTGTTATTAATAACAACACAACAATAACAGTAATTAATGTTTATTGAGTGCTTGTTCAGTGTTAGGCACTGTTTTAAGCCATTTTCATGTTTTACTTATCACCACAACCCTATGAAGCAGATTATTATGATCCCCACTTTCAGATGGAAAACTTGGCATCCAAAAGTTAAGCACCTTATTATCAAGAGTCACACAGGTTCATAGTGGTGGAGCGAGAATTTGAATCCCGGCTGAGGACTTCAGAGTTCATGTTTTCATACCCTTATATTTATGTAGCTTAACACATGTTAACTATTTGCATTTACAACACTGAAGTAATGCTGTATCATTTTATAAAGGAGTAAAATCCTTGAGAAGCTAAATCACTCAAATGGGATTCAAACCTTCTACTCCTAACTTTTCTAAACCTGTGATTTTTACCCTAGTCATATCATAACCACAGAGGAGTCTTAAGTTTATGTTTCTTGTTTTTCACAGCCTTTTCCTGGTTTATATCCATTTTCATTGACTGGTTACTTAATTATACAAAAGTGTTTATTGATAATTTTTGGTAGAATTTGTGTCCAGGTTCTGCCAAATCATTTTTTACATCTCAGACTTTTCTGCTGCAGTGCCTTTCCCTCCATATGTACTCTGTCAGCTGGTAGTTATATATCTAACCTATGATTATGGACCCCTCCCGAAAACAAAGGTCATGTCAATGAAATATAGACTCTTCTGCTATCGTCATGAAGACTACTGCTACTTTCACTTTCTAAAACCATGTTCTTTTGTTTTTGGTATTTTTCAGTTGAATAGTGTCTTCAAAATGGGTAGATAATGAAAATAAGGCAAATATGGATGGAGTGTGGAGAATTATTATTATTTTACCAACAAGAGAGGGAATGAAAACAAAAGATAGGGAGGCCATAACAGTCTGTATTTCTATCGAGGCCTTCTTTTGCTGACTGATAGCCAAAGCACACGTGGGTTTTTTTTTAGCTTTTTATGTTTTCATAACTTGCTTTCTGACGTATATAGAAAATTTAGACAGAAACAGTCATCTATTTTATTTTTAAAAATAGACTTTTACTATATATGTTACCTATACCAAAAACCGATAAAATATTTATTATATCTCCAGATTCGTGGAATTTAGATATGGGTTATTTTAAAAACTAGGGACAAGAAAACAAAAGCCGTCATACTCCTGGGCACATGTATATCATTTTTCCTATATATTTAATTTAACTTACCTACTGCTAAAGTCCGTTCGTTTTAATACTAGAATGGAAACTCTTAGATCATAAAATTATTTTACTTAAATAATATTTGCTATGAAATAAACTACCAAAGCAGGGAGAATGCAGGAAGTAATATAAAACTCTAAAACAAATAGAATTTTATTAGTAATATTCTGATTGAACAGCTCGTATTAATACCAGACACAGATTTTTATAGAACAGCTAAAAGTGCATCATCCAAGACTGCTGTTAGGACTTAGCATCAGTATTGTCATTGAAGAACAAAAAAACACCAAAATGCTAATCTAAATTAAAATAAAAGCAGCTTCCTTGTGTGTATTCTGCCTTGGCTCATTGTGGTTCCTATAAGATTAAATCATAAGATAAATCACTGTTTACCACAAGAGAAAGTGATCTAAATTAGCATTTAAAGGAGGCAACTAAAAGTTTATTTTTTAAATAAATACAATTTTTTTAATAATACAAAAATATGGGCTTCACTGTCACTTAAAGCAGGGCAAGGAGCCACATTTCTTAAGTAGTAGACTAGCTACGTCAGGAGTAAAGAACTGGTTTTAAAAATACATTTACTGTTATGTTTTCTAAAAACATTCTCTTATTTAATATTTTCTCACATATATTCTGTTTTGAAGTGAAAGACCCATAAATCTGTGTTACCTCATAAAACTTGCTGTATATGTTAAAATTTTCCTAGGCCCCAAGAGAATGTTATAAATTAGTTATAGAATACTTATGTTTAAATCTAAGTCTTTACTTAGTTATTTTTAAAAGAGAAAAAAAGGTCTTCTATGCATTGGGTTAATTTTATTAGTAGCATTTCTCTTCATAGTTGCTATATTGCCAGCTAGTAGAGAGAAGAAACGAAAGTCAAGATTTGCCTCCTTTCAGATGGTAAACTCATAGAGGCATTTAACTGGCTGTGTCATGCACTGAAAACAACATGAGGCAACGAAGTTAAATTTATGAAGCATTCAGGGTATGTTAGATAAAGAATTTCTAGATTGTGAAATATGTTCTGGGAAGAGACTTGAAAACAATCTAATCGCCTGGATATATTTAAGAAAAGGATAAATAGTTATCTGTGTGATTTGGGGTTCAGATTAAATGCTTGCCTTAAGACAGTGTCAGTAAGAACTGAGGCTTAATGAAGTCCTGCACTTTCCATAGCATGTAACAATAAAAAAGAGAGATGACAGTATTTCAGATCCACTATTGCTTGGGAATTTTGTTAGAATTTCTTGTAAAATGTATGTTTAACAGAAATCCTGCCAGTATTTACAGTTTTAAATCTTTAAGGAAAGGACACGAAAGCAAAGTTGGAAAAAATTTTAGCTCTACCATTATTTGCTTGTTCAAGATTCTTAACCATTAATATCTTTAATTTTTACAAGGCCAAAGGAGCCCCAAATCTAACAAACGTAAGTGTCTTTGGTTTAAGGCATACTATTGGTAACGAGTAATTTTATCTTTAATAGTTTTTATAATGCATGTAAAAAAAGCTCCCAGATAGAATATTGAAGGAAACCTCTTATGTGTGCTTAACAAAATTATTTCTATCTAAAAATATTACATATTTCTAGCCTTTTAATCATGTATTTAATTAATTACATCTTCTGGGTTCTTATTTTCTATTGTTAATACTGACTACTTACATAATGCTTTTATGTGTATATCAATAACTTCGCTTTTCCAAGTAATTCCATTTGTAGCAAGTTAATTTCTGTCATCCAAATTAAATTACTGTTACATGTAAGCCTGGAAAGCTATTTAAAATTTTGAGTTGGAACAAGAAATGCCATAGATTACTCTTAAATCTGTACAAGAATTTCTGCTTAATATTTGGTTATACTGTAATTGAGATTTTGTTGCAAAGACTTTCAACTATTTTTATATCTTAGCTTTGTTTTATGACTACACTCTGAGAAATCCAACAGTTCATGTATGTCTTCGGCACACACACTGTAGCTGCAGGAAGAGAAACTAATTGCGTTCATGACTATTTAGTTTGTATTCCTTTGTTTTTAATCATTGTGCTATAAACCTTATACATTTAATCTGTTACTTGTTAAAATGTCTTTCTACTGTCACTAAAGCACTTGTTTTCAGAAACCCAGCATGGGATGCATGTATCAGTCTGTAATCATATACACTAAATATCATTAAATTGAACCTCAAATAATGCATTAACCATCGCACAGTACTTAATGTTTTTATGTCAAGTTGCAAGATAAAACCTTTTTCAAATAAGATAAACTAGTATATTCTAAAGGTCTTTGTTTAGTAAAAGATTCTGAAATTTCTACTACAAATATAAAATAGTTATGCATTTACTATACATAATATTTATAAATGAAAGAAATATTAAATACCTTTTTGTATCTGTTGATACAGTGAATCCAGAAACTTGCTGCCCTTATTCTTGATTTTAAAAATCAGTGTAGAAGTTTGTTCATCTGTGACTTTAATGGCAGCTGCATTTTTGTTTTGAACCGTTGAATCCAAGCTGTAAGAAGGAACTTCTTTTTCCTTTTACAATACTAATCAATTGAATTTGACGAGCCACCTGTGTAATTTTAAGTAGTATAGTAGAAGTTCGGGTCTGTGGGCCGTCTTTAATCCAGCAGAGAAAGCGTTGTGGCTTTGCTCTGTCTGCCACATGGAGAAATGCAGTAACCAGCTGCAGCTGACCCAGATTGTATATACAGTACCCCTGAATAGTGATTCCCTCTTTCTCAGTAGACTCAAGTTCAGCCCACATATTACATCACCAAAAATTGCTGGAGACTGGGGGCGGGAATCTCCTCCTTAGGATTTCCTCTTTGTAGCCTTAAATAGGGGGGTGGGATCAGCAGGAGGTTGAATAGTTTCAAACAAGGAGAGATTGTGTGCAGGTTGAAGGAAGGGCACCATCTGGAAACAAACTATCATAGTTCAGCGGGCAATTATAAAACAAACATTTTAGTCTGCTGGCCAGAGATCTTTTAAGTTGAATACCGAAAAAAAATAGTGCTCAACTTCACTTAGAAATAGTTGCAGGCTGATGAGTTTGGTTTTTGTTAACAAAGAACAAGAGCTAGACTTTGTCAGGAGGCAGCCACCTAAGTAATGTAATACTCTTTATAGCCTAGAAGAATTTGTAAACATTTTACTTATTAAGTTGCTAATGAAGGTTTTAAACTTACAAGAAACTTGATGTTGTTATAGTATGTTATGTCTTACTGTGTAATGTATCTTAAGATGAAACAGCTTTTATATATAATTACCAAACATGAGTGAAATTCTTTCAGATACTTAATACTTTTAAATATTAAAATTCTGATGTTACATAATGTCATATCCTCCTATTCTACAAAATGACCTCTCTTCTCTGTATAAGGTCATTCTTATTAATTGATGTGGTGTGGTTTAAAAACAAACATAACCCTGAACTGAGTAAAAAACAAGGAAGCTCTGACTCTCCACTAGCTATGTGAACTTAGACAAATCACTTTACCTGCCTCTGGCAAGGTTCTTCTGCTGTGAAAATAGGGTGTTGGAAGAAATTAGTAAGTGTTGAGTACAACTATACTATTGTATTTCATTAATTGAAGAAATGTTAAGTAACTCAGTAGCTGAAGAAACACAAATTTAGGCTTAAGTAACTTAACTTAGCACTTAAGTACTAAGTAGTGGAACTGGAATTTGAATCTAATGCCAAAGCATTATGCCACACTGTCTGTCATTGATTACCTAGTTGCTGTAAGCTGCTTTTAGATAAAACTTTTGGGCTTTCTGTACGTCCCTTCCTTATTGCTATAGCTTGTGCTGTTTTTCTCTTTCTGTTAGGCCACACTGTTGATCCACATCGTTTATTTAAAGTCTGAGCTTATTTTCTACCTCTTTCACAGAGTCATTTCTTTGAATTCCTGTGCCATATATAGGTATACCAGAGGTTGCAAACACAAGGGCCTAGAAAGGCAAATGCTCTCAAGAAGAATGGAGCAGGTAATAGAAATCAGTGAAGTAAATCAGTAATAAGATACTGGAGGGAAATGAAGTTTATGGCAAGTTGGCATCCTTTTGGTTAATTTAAAGGGATCTGCCTGCACCTTCTCAGCTGTACCTGTGGCCATGAAGGATTATGAGACAGTGTTCCAGATCTTCCCATTATTCAGGAAAAAAGAGCCATTTAGATTTTTCCTGTAATACTTCCTGATTTTAAAAAACATTGGGACAGATGTACTGCCAGCTTCTGGCCTCTGATTTATATTATGTATCATTTCTTGAGCATTCGGTAATTATGTTGTAGTCACTAATGGTTTAAATCTGGGAAAAATAAGAGATAGTAAATTCTTCCTGAGCTTTTAAATTTCAGCAGTTTGGAGCTTTCTAACTTCAGCACTTAGTAATATCACTAACCAGGGTAGGAAATTGGAATGACAGGTATTTAGGGACAAATTATGGCTAGATATGTTAAATTGGAAGTGAAAGTCAGGATCTCAGTTATATAGAGAGATTAAAAAGTCATCAGCAATTAGGTAGTAGCTAAAGCTATGGAACTAAGATACTAGAGAAAGTACATGTAGAATGTAAAGGAAGATTAATGACAGACCATGATACCAATTTCCAGGAAATCAGCTTCCAAGAAACATGAGGAAAAAGAAGAATGGTGAGGGCTTAGAGGTAGGATAGGAAAGTTCAAGGTGGGGAAAACCTGGGAACTAGAAGAGAATGGTTACAATACTGCAGAGAGATTACATAAGGAGGGGAGACCAAGAGAGCTGTTTTAAGACTTAGAATGAGAAAGTTGTTAATGCCATTGCCAAAATAGGTGATAGATACAGATTTCAGATTATTTAGTGTGTTGAAGGGTGACTGGATAAAATTTAACTGACAAATTAGTGTCCACAAAACATCAAGAAATTAGAAATCCATAAGAAAAAGACAACCCAAAAGAAAAAATGGACAGAAACATTTATTACATAGAAATATAAATGTTTAAATGGATTACTAATCAAGGAAATAAAAATTAAGACACAGAGAGATACCATTTTATACAGAAGATTGACAGAATTGAGATTGATAATACCAATTGTTAGCACAAATGTGGATCAGCAGAAGCTTATATACCGTCAGTGGGAGTGTGAATTGATATAGCTTTGAAAAATAATGTGACACCATCTTGTAAAGTTGAATATTAATATACTTTAGCATTTGGCAGTTTTGCTCCTAGGCGTGTCTATATATCCTGAAGAAATTTTGTACATGTGTGCTGGGAAATGTGTATAAGAATGTCTGTAGCAACATGGTTGGAGGTGGGATGGGAGTAATCCAAAAGTCTATCAAATAAAATGAATGAGTTAATTGTAAAATAGTCACACATTAGCTTGTTCTCATTATAAGGAATTACAGCGGCATTTAACAGCTTGGATAAGTCTTAGAAACAAAATAGACAAAGCAACCACAGAAGACCATATTTTTAAATTTTATTTAATAAATGCTTATAAGTATAAATAAATGCATATTTTTAAATTTTATTTAATAAATGCTTATAAGTCACTTAGTATGTACTAGACACTTTTCTTTTTTTTTTGGGACGGAATCTCGCTCTGTCACCCAGGCTGGAGTGCAGTGGCACGATCTCGGCTCACTATAAGCTCCGCCTCCCAGGTTCACACCATTCTTCTGCCTCAGCCTCCCGTACTAGGCACTTTTCTGACATTACAAATACTATTATTTAATCTACATATACATTAAAATATGATTTTTAAAGCTCAAAAATAGGCAAAAGAAGGAATACAGACAGATGTCTGGGGAAAAAAATGAGGTTCAGAGTAGTGATTACTTCTGGACAGGAAGCAAGGAGATGCAGTAGAGAAGGAACATACAGATAGATACAACAGTATTGATGAAGTCGTAGTTCTTTTTTAAAGTAGTATTTACCCCAACATATGAAAATATTAACGTGTAACCAATAAAGTTAATAGATATTTTACATTAATTTTTCATATTAACTCTTCAAAATCTTGTCTGTTTTATATTCAAATACATCTCAATTCAGAATACACACACGAAACAGTAATTACATGTGGCAAGTGGTTATATTGGACAGCACAGTCTAGTACAGGTGAGTTGTCATCTGAGTTTAATGATAGGATGGAAGAATGGCAAGAACTGGCACATTAGTACCCCGCTCAAATCCCACTTCTTCCTTGAAGCTTTCTCTGATCCCATCAGCAAGGAATGACTTTTTTTTGCACAGAATTTTTATGAAACTCCTCTTTAAGCTTTTCTGTGCTACTTTTATATATCTTTTATTGCTGTTATCGATGTACCTATGCCAACATCTCCATGCCATTTCTTCGAGGAATCTTTTAGCTCTCCTTAGGGATGTTGTAGTCATAAGTTGACTGGTCTTTCACAAGTGTTTATTATATTGTTTGATAACAACAGGTGTCACATATGTTGATAATTTTTTCTTAGGAGCGGGATCTCACCGTGTTGCCCAGACTGGTCTTAAATTCTTGGGCTCAAGCAGTCTGCCCACCTAGCCTCCTGAAGTGCTGAGATTACAGGCGTGAGCCACCGTTCCCAGCAATAATTTTTGTGAAATCACGATTCTCACACAAATATGAAATGAATGTGTCAGAATTTTCATTTAAATTATTAAATTTATAAGGGAATCAAAAATATGTCAAGGGTGAATTCAAAGTAACACTCATATGCAATCAGGAATGCTGAGGTAAATTTACAAATAGTTGCAAAATTGGTCAACATAAGTCAACATTCATTAGATCCCACTGGACATAATTCTTTGGCATGTTTATGAACAATAATTTTTATTACCAGTTTTCAACAGCTGTGCAGAGTTGTGAAATAACTCAGAAGAACCAAACGGATGTACTGGAGACAGGATACCCAGTAATCTTTTTTTTTCCCCCCAATCTCAAAGTTTTTCACAATTTTCCTGACACATAAAAACTTTTATGTGTATCAAATATTACATTAAAAATAAAGTAAAGAATAAAATAAGTGTACTATTCTATGTTTCTCTTCTAAGGTGTGTGTTGAAGGGAGAACAAGAATGTTATCTTGAGTGGGATCAGATTTGAAGGAAGAGTTGCTTAGATTTTGTTTTATAAGTAGGGGAGATTTAAACATGTATATTGGGCCAGGTGCAGTGACTCGTGCCTGTAATCCTAGCACTTTGGGAGGCTGAGGTGTGTGGATCACTTGAGACCAGGAGTTCGAGACCAGCCTGGCCAACATGGTGAAACCCGTCTCTACTAAAAATGCAAAAACTAACCAGGCATGGTTGCGCATGCCTGTAATTCCAGCTACTCGGGTAGCTGAGGCACGAGAATCACTTGAACCCAGAAGGCAGAGGTTGCAGTGAGCCAAGATCGCGCCACTGCATTCCAGCCTTTGACAGAGCAAGACTCTGTCTTGGGGGGAAAAAATGATTAAAAAAAAAAAAGATTAAAAAAAAAATGTGTATATTGACTCTGGGAAAGGAGCCAGTAGGGGTGAATGAGCAACAGTGGTTGTCTGGAAGGAGGCAGCAACGATTGCATTCAAAATTACAATTGAGATTTGGGAAGAAGACAGGGATTCTTCTGCCTCTGAGATTGGACAAAGTGGGAAGAACCTCAGCTTCATTTGGAACCTCAGATTCATTTGGAGTCATAGGGAAATAAAGTTACGGTTATCTAAAGAAAAAAAGAACGATAGGTGACTTAAAGAATACTGTAAATATTTACTGAGTGGAAAATGAATGATACTAGGATGAGTAAAAAGATTGCCATGCCAACCTTTTATGTTAAACACCTTTCGTCAAAACATTGCACAAGATTTTCTTTCTCTTGGAGTGCAAGATAGAGCAACTGCCTTAAATGAGTTTGCAGTCTTGAACAGATAAGATATAAATGTAAAAAAAAAAAAAAAAATTAAATAATGAGATTTTGAAGTCACAAAGGTCATTACGTGAATAGTATGCACAGATAATGTATGATTTTTAAACAGAATATAAGTAATTTTTTTTTAATTGGGCTATAAGTGAAACATCTGAGATCCAGCTCTGTCACTAACAGGTTGTATGGCATTAGACACGTCCCTTTACCATCTATATATTTCAGGTTCTTCATCTCTAAAAGGAGAGGATTAGACTAGACAGTGTCTGAATTCCTTTCTTGAAATCTGTGAGAAAACTAGAGAATCTTGACACCGAATTAGATAAGCAAAATATAAGATTTGGATAGGCAGAGATAAGTCTAGAAAACATTTAAGGTATAAGAAAAAGCTGAGTAAAAACAGGGTTTATTTAGAAGGCAGTGGGTATGTCATTTTGGTTGCATTTACCCTGAGAGTTCGTGAACATGAAGTAATAGGGTAAAAGTAGGAAAGTATGTTTTTCTTTAATCTCCAGCTATAGTTGTCTAATACATTTCACATGTGCATTGTGAACTCTCCAGAAATAATCCTAAATAAGTGACCTTTCATGTTAAGGACTAGTACAACCAAATTTTAGAGGATGTGTTATTTTTGTTGGTGCAAAGAGCGTGGAGGGTAAGAAATAGTTAACTTCAATTTGTAGTCACATGAACCCTTTCAGAAATTCATTTGTTGATCTTTAAAATGTAAAACATTTCTACCAGATTGAGATAATTTTCAAAGTAGTTAAGACTCAAATGATAGTTATCAACCCAAGGCAAGAGAGTATAAAACAAATATTAAATAATTTCCCTATGTCAGGCAGTGGCTGGGCTGCTGGCTAAATTAATATCTTCAAGTTGTAACACACCTTGGAAAATGGATGCTTGTATAGGTTTTAAATCTGAGGTTCTGAGTTTAAAATAACTCTCCATTATGAAACTAGTCAGAGGCAGAGCCAATTGAAGAACTCAGCTCCTTTCCATTAATTCCCATATGTGCTGGGGTTTCTAACTCTAGCCTCAAACTATACTTGAAAATGAAATCAGGCCAGGCGCGGTGGCTCAAGCCTGTAATCCCAGCACTTTGGGAGGCCGAGACGGGCGGATCACGAGGTCAAGAGATCGAGACCATCCTGGCTAACACGGTGAAACCCCGTCTCTATTAAAAAAAAATACAAAAAACTAGCCGGGTGTTGAGGTGGCGGGCGCCTGTAGTTCCAGCTACTCGGGAGGCTGAGGCAGGAGAATGGCGTAAACCCGGGAGGCTGAGCTTGCAGTGAGCTGAGATCCGGCCACTGCACTCCTGCCTGGCCGACAGAGTGAGACTCCATCTCAAAAAAAAAAAAAAAAAGAAAAGAAAATGAAATCACAAGAAGACATTTACAAAATAGCATATTATTACAAAAAATTGGTGTATGTCTGACCCCAACTGTATGGAAAGCTAGACCCCAGTAACCATATGTTACCGAGGCTTCAGTGTATTAATAGCAATATATTTTAAATGTGGCATACGTGGAATATATCTATAAACAACCTTTTCTCCTCTTTTCTTTGTCATAGTCTCCCAAGCTACAACTAAGAAAACATTTATCTCATTTTGTTTCAGGTATCTATTTGTCAGATTTAACATACATTGATTCAGCATACCCATCAACTGGCAGCATTCTAGAAAATGAGCAGAGATCAAATTTAATGAATAATATCCTTCGAATAATTTCTGATTTACAACAGTCTTGTGAATATGGTAAGTTTCTGGGGGATAATGTCTAGCCATTAACGTTGCTGTAATTCCAGTGATTTATTTACACACATTGATGATCATTTTTCACACAGCAGGGGACATCAATTTCTTATTTACATTCTAACATAAAGGAAAATAATGCTTGTTTTATTTTGCCATTTAGTACGTAGCATCCTGTTTAAGATCTTGCTTTTAAGAATTTAAGTATTTAATATTTAAAATTTTTATTTTTATATTTTGCTTTTCTGCTATTTTACAGCAACTTTCTCACAGCACAAGGACACTATTTAATATTACTACCTCACAGCTATTTGGCCCTTTATAGTTGACAAAGTCATTTTCTATTATCTCATTTGATCTCCCTGATCTGTTATGTAAATCGTTCTTACAGCTTTCAATTAGGGAAGTTTAGCTGAGACCCTTGATCTTCGTGACAGTTGACCAACTTTCTTGAGTCAGATTATCGAGTAAATAACCAATTTTCGCCCAATGTGTATTTTATGGAATGACAAATACAGAAACAGCCACGTAAGCCCAAATGATGAGAAAGGACTTTTTTTTTTTTTTTTTTTTTTTTAATGTTTAGATACTTCCAGTTTGATAGGGAATAAAGTTAGGCTGTTAATACGTAATTTTTATGGGTTAAAAAACTGAGTTTTACATTATATGATTACTTCAAGTGAATTTATCTTAAAGCTAACTTTTACTTCATGCATCTGTACTTTTTAGAAAACCTCAAAAACTTCCTAAAACTATCTGTGTGGAGATAGAATCTTACTGAAAGTTAAATCAAATAATTCCTTATTTTGTCCTTTTCTCAATATTTTAAACATAGCATCAAGTTGCGTTGTTAAATTAATCTTGCTTGAGACTTATAAGGGGAGGAGATAAACCATATTTATAAATGGGAACCAGGTTTCTTTAAAAGAAAAATAACTGCCTTCACCTCTTCTGTTTAGTTTAGAATAGTTCCTGATCTTTTTCTATGAAATTTCTCAAATATATGGGACTTTATAATTGGAACTACTAAAAAAAAAATCTAGACAAACAGTATGCAACTGTAATTTTCTAAATTACCTTCAGTTTCAATTAAAGTTTATCTCAGTAATGTCCTTCTAGAGTTAATTTAAATTTTGCTGCCATGCGGCCTTAATTTACCTTTAAGTTATTTTCAGCTTAATTTTTAAAGTTCTGGTTAAGATGTGCTTTATCAGATAATTATTTATCACCTTTTGCCTAGATATTCCCATGTTGCCTCATGTCCAAAAATATCTGAACTCCGTTCAATATATAGAAGAACTACAAAAATTTGTGGAAGACGATAATTACAAGTAGGTTGGATCTTCCAAAGTGGTTTGTATAACTGTCCTGTCCTCCACCTTTCTATCCCTATGTATTTAAACATCTAAATCCTACATGGTACCATACAAAGGCCTAATCCAGTGGTAGGTTTATAGCAGTAAAGATACTAACATGTATTACTTTTTAGTCACTTGTTATGATTGAGCCAATATACAAATACCTCATCTGTTCTTTTTAATATTTTTATCTCTGTAGAGAGCTAACGTTTGATAGTTCTAATTTAAATTTCTTCTTTTCCCCCATATTCAATCATTGAATCCTTACAGAATTTATCTTTTAATAGACAGAAAAATTAGTGACACTTTTTAAAGTAGAAAAATTACTGTTTAATGCTAATTATTGACACATCATTGTTTGTTTTTAATTGCTTTTGCGGATTGGGAGACTATTGGTCCATCTTCTCTCTGGAGAAGAGACATTTATCCAGTGTAGCACCACACTTATCCTTTTCTCTATATTGTAGCAAGTTCTTTATTAAAGATTTTTGAGGCCGGGCACAGTGGGGCACAATGACTCACACCTGTAATCCCAGCACTTTGGGAGGCCGAGGCAGGTGGATCACTTGAGGTCCGGAGTTCGAGACCAGCCTGGCCAATATAGTGAAACACTGTCTGTACTAAAAATACAAAATTAGCCAGGCATGGTGGTGCATGCCTGTAATCCCAGCTGCTTGGGAGGCTGAGGCAGGAGAATCACTAGAACCCAGGAGGCAGAGGTTGCAGTGAGCTGAGAGTGCACCATTGCACTCCAGCCTGGGCAAAAAGAGCAAAACTCCATCTCAAAAAAAAAGATTGTTTGAAATCACTTTTAAAATAGCTGATATCCATTTTTATCTCCTTATATCCACAGTACTTCCCAAAGATGGGAGAGGAAATTTTTTAATTATTAACCTTTTCATCTTTTATTGATATACTTTACATCATAACTGCTGGGATTTTTTTTTTTTAAGGTGGGAGGATAAAGAGCTTATTTCTCTTGAAGTTTGTCACTTTTCTTTTAGCTTCATTTGTTACTTTGTTTAAAAAGTTTACTTAGCTTTATTATCCCAGTTGTTTCCAAGCTTTCAAATTGAATTTTGCACTTTCACAAATATTTTTTCCAATAAAAGGTCATGTTTCAAAAATTTATCAAAGTAAAAGACTAGATTATTTTCCAATGTTAATGCATTACATAGAATTTTTTTTTTTTGTCTTCCTTTGGTAATGATTATTAACTTCCTTGTTCCAGATTTTGACAATTTTAAAAAATTTTTGTAGAACAGAATTAGTCCCAGTAAATGGCTGTAGAAATTCTGGAAAACATCTAGGAATAATTTTTCTAAATGCATCTAAAATTTTACTAATGTTTGAAAATGCGTTTATTACCATCTTTTCTCTCACACCATAATGTCAACACTTTATATTTCTGTACCAATTTTTATTCTACAAAAAGTTTCTACATGGTTACTTACTTGAAAATGTGTAAAGTCAATGAAAAAGCTTTTTAAGGCTGGAGTTGTTCACAAATCTGTTGCCCTGGGTTGTAAGTTTTTCAAGTTTGATGGTCTGTGTCTTATACTTACCACTATTTTTCCCGTCTCTCTAATTACTGACATAGAACTCATGCCTAGTAAATACTTAAGTTTTGTCCAGTGAGGCGTAGAACAGATATCTTAAAATTCAAAATGTAAGTAGCTATTAGATATTTATCTGGCTCAAGAAACTTACTGAATTTAAAAGAATTTAAAGTTTATTAGATTGAAGTAAAATCTAAGAAAATTTTGCACAATTTTTATAGAGGATGGCAAATTTTTTGTGACTACTGTAAAATTATAATACAGTATTTATTAAAGCTAGTTTTTACTTTGCTAAAAGGGTAGACTTAGCCAGTGAAGCCACGAAGTAGTTCTGACATTCTATAAACTGACATATCATATAGTGCCTTCATTTTTGTAGGAAAACTGATACTATTATACTGATTTTTGTTTTCATGAGGAGCTAGAACCAGAGCAGCCCTTCCATTACATTGACAGATATTTACTAAGGTTTTGTTATAGGCCAGTTACTGTGCTAGTTGCTGGGATTATAAAAATAAGATACTGTTCTTGCCCTCAAGAAGCTCAGTCTCATGTAAGATACATCCACAAAACAGATGATTATAAGACATTTCAAACAGTACTATAATAAAAATATGCCAAGGATGCTGTGGAAACATAGGTAAGTGGGGGACCTAACCCAGATTTTCATAGGAAAACTAAAAAGAAGGAAAATACAAACAGCTTCAGGAGACAGCGTCATCTGAATCTTAACAGGTGAGTAGGAGTTAGTCTCACGTGAAGGGTGAGGAAAAGCATGCTGGGGAATGGAATGATCAAAGGAATGGGATGAGAAACAGTGTCTTTGCATGAGGAACGATGAGTCATTTGATGTTATTGGAACATCATACGGGACTTAGAGGAGACATTGTTTTTCTTTTCCTTTTCCTTTTTTTTTTTGGAGACGGAATTTCATTCTGTTTCCCAGTTTGGAGGGCAGGGCAGTGGTACGATCTCAGCTCACTGCAACCTCCACCCCACCGGGTTCAAGTGATTCTTCTGCCTCAGCCTCCCGAGTAGCTGGGATTACAGGTGCCCACCATCGTGCCTGGCTAATTTGTGTATTTTTAGTAGAGATGGGGTTTCACTATGTTGGCCAGGCTGATCTTGAACTCCTGACCTCAGATGATCCACCCGCTTCAGCCTCCCAAAGTGCTAGGATTACAGGCGTGAGCCACCGCATCCGGCTGACAGATGGTTTTTCTAAAAATGCAGTGTATTTGTTGCATAAGCCTAATAATTTAGTGTGTATGAAAAATAGAGCATTTTAAGATGTCATTAAAATTATTAGAAAAAATTAGAAGAAAACATTTTGTTAGAAAAAAATGCCTTTTATGATGAAAAATTTGTAAATAGAAATGGCATGTCACTTATAAAAGGTCTATTTTGGGCAACTTGATCTACATAGGCAGCCAGTATAGATATTACAAATTACATGTCTTTTGATCAGGATGAAAATTTTTCTGGTTTTTATTTTAATACTGAACATATCTTTTCTTAATGAATCAGCATCTCTCTTATTATGTGGTGCTTTGACGATGTTGTAAGCAGCTGGCACTCAGACTAGCCTTCAGTAACAGTATGGCGATTCCTCAAGGATCTAGAAGTAGATGTACCATATGACCCAGCCATCCCATTACTGGGTATATACCCAAAGGATTATAAATTATGCTGCTATAAAGACACATGCACACGTATGTTTATTGCAGCACTATTCACAATAGCAAAGACTTGGAATCAACCCAAATGTCCATCAGTGACAGATTGGATTAAGAAAATGTGGCACATATACACCATGGAATACTATGCAGCCATAAAAAAGGATGAGTTTGTGTCCTTTGTAGGGACATGGATGCAGCTGGAAACCATCATTCTTAGCAAACTATCACAAGAACAGAAAACCAAACACCGCATGTTCTCACTCATAGGTGGGAACTGAACAATGAGATCACTTGGACTCAGGAAGGGGAACATCACACACCGGGGCCTATCATGGGGAGGGGGGAGGGGGGAGGGACTGCATTGGGAGTTATACCTGATGTAAATGACGAGTTGATGGGTGCAGCACAGCAGCATGGCACAAGTATACATATGTAACAAACCTGCACGTTATGCACATGTACCCTACAACTTAAAAGTATAATAATAATAAATAAATTTAAAAAAAAAAAAAAAAAAGATGTTTCTACTTTTTATATTGCTGTCAGTTTCTAGCTGCTACCAATAGCAGTGTGATTCGCCCAATAAGCTCCCTTTCTTTTCCTTTCTATGTTGGTGTCGTTGGGAAATGGTAGTTATTTCATTTACTACTTTTCTTTCATCCACTAGACTGTAAGCTTCAGAAGGATGGGAATACCGCGTCTGCCATAATCTCTGTTATATTCCAGTTCTGAGCACAGTGCCCAATACAGGTGTTCAGTAAATACTTGTCCAATGAATGAATGCAGTATAGTTTGTAGCCTAAATAATTAAACATTTTCATAAAAAGAGAAAAGAGTCTGGTTAATCATTTATCTATTCAACATATGCATTTTCTATTATCAAATAACCGGAATATAATAATAAGAACTTACAGTAGATTTGTTTATCATTATAGATGCCATTTGTATTGTGCAATTTTAAAATTTTAGTAGAATACTAAACAGTTTTTATTAAATTTCAGACAGACTCAGCAATATTAGGCTTCATGTATCATATCAAAGCATTTTCTACAACTACTTTAGTGTCCTATTTTCTGAAATAGCTTCCACTGATAGAAATCATGATCTCTTTCACTGTGAAACTCAGAACTGGATATATTATCCTAAATGGAACTTAAGTACCAAATAATAAACTCTGACTTAGGACAGGGACTTACTAGAAATTTTGCAAACAACCTTTTTATTTGTGTAGATCTTTCTTTTGAAGAGTTTTGTCAGCTGGTTTGTTAGATGGTTAGTTTTAAATAACGTGTTTTTAGAAATAATTTGCATAATATATTTAATAATACATATGAAAGTTTCTGAATCAAGTGTCAGGTATCAGTGTAAGCTCTAAGTTGAATCATCATTTAGTCATTCATCAAGTATCTTTAAATGTGTTCCATGGTTTGGCAACTTTGGGGTAATTGGGGGAGATTTTTGTGTTTTTAAATACAACTTTTTAATATATTTTCCCTTCCTAATATTTCCTAGAATAACCATAAGATCAGCTTTGTATGAAAGAGATAAGAGACTTAACATCTTAATTAAAAATTGCCCTTGGCCAGGCTTGGTGGCTCATGCCTGTAATCCCAGCACTTGGGGAGGCCAAGGTGGAAGGATCACTTGAGCCCAGGAGTTTGAGGCTTAAGTGAGATTCCCTGTCTCTTAAAAAGAAGAAGATTGCTCTTGAAGAAAAATATATAGGTCAGATTATTTCATAAAAATGTTTTTAGTTTTTTTGTGAGAAAATACACAACTTTAATCTTATTTTGTCGAATGTTAATCATTGTATGTATTTTGTCTTTTTAAAATTCAGGCTTTCATTAAAGATAGAACCAGGGACGAGCACCCCACGTTCTGCTGCTTCCAGAGAAGATTTAGTAGGTCCGTACATAGTTTTCTCTTGTTACCAAATCTAAATCAGATAACCTAATAAGGAAGAATATACTCCAAAGTAAATAAAAATTTCGTACTTCTTATACTGCATGTAAAATTTATTTTGATATTAAAGTCCTTTCTGGGTTTTTTTTTTTTTTCTTTTTAAATTTAAAAGTTGCTGGCCGGGCTCCATGGCTCACACCTGTAATAATCCCAGCTCTTTGGGAGGCCAAGGCGGGCGGATCATGAGGTCAGGAGATCGAGACCATCCTGGCAAACACGGTGAAACCCCGCCTCTACTAAAAAAACACACACAAAAAAATACAAAAAATTAGCCGGGCGTGGTGGCAGACGCCTGTAGTAGCAGCTGCTTAGGAGACTGAGGCAGGAGAATGGTGTGAACCCAGGAGGCAGAGCTTGCAATGAGCCGAGATCATGCCACTGCTCTCCAGCCTGGGCGACAGAGCGAGACTCCATCTCAAAAAAAAAAAAAAAGGTTGCTATAGTTTGTCAGTAGTGTACAAACAAATATGCTACCTAATCAAGGAAAATAGATAGATACTACAGATGGAAAATAATAGATAAGTAGTTATGAATATTCATTTTTAATTAAGAATGCACTGTCCTGGGCAATGAAGGTTGATTACACTAGAAATTTCTGTGGTCTAATGGGAAAGTCTGCTAATTTGAATAATTATAGAAGTCAATTTTAGTGGCATAATTTTTTCAAATGTTCACTGTAATATAAAAATCATAGTTCCTTACTTTACCTGTTACATTATAATGGGGATATTATGCATATACCACAAGTAATTTTTTAAAAAAACATAAAATTGTCATTATTTAAGAAATCCCTGATAGGTACCTTTTTTAAATTCCCAATATAGGCCTTCGCGCTAAGTTTCATGTATATTCTAAAAATATTTGACAGCTAATCTAATAAGATGTGAAGAAGTGAAGAAACAAACCATGACAATGTCTATGGGGAAGAATATTCCAAGCAGAAAAAACACTGCAGTTTAAATTTCTTAAATTTGCTTTTCTTTTTATTCTTAAAGTGCCGTTTTGTTCTTTCATAATATTCTATTATTTATTCCCATAAGCCTGAATAGTGTCGGTATAGATTTAATTTCTAATTTGAGTGTTTGACCTACCCGACACATTCTTTATCTAAGAGGAAGTTGAAACTAGGAGTAAAGAAGTAATGTATAAAATTAAAAGAGCAGTGAACCTAGGACTCAGAAGACCTGGGTGTTTAGTCCAGATTTTGTCTGTGATGTGAAAGCTAGTCTATTCTAATTCTGCTTCTTCCTATGTAAATGGAGAAAATATTTACACTGCCTCTACTTAGTATAACTAAGATAAAAGTTAATGGATTTTGTATGGTTTGGGATTTTGTGTTTTAGGACTTAGAATATATTTCTCATCTTCAAGTCAATGAAATAGAACTAATATCAATACTATCTCAAAATTTGAACCACATTTAGTATTTTATATCGGGGATTGAAAAATAATCATTTGAAAATCTGTTTAAATTTAACCCTTAGGTCCTGAAGTAGGAGCATCTCCACAGAGTGGACGAAAAAGTGTGGCAGCTGAAGGAGCCTTGCTCCCACAGACACCACCATCCCCTCGGAATCTGATTCCACATGGACATAGGAAGTGCCATAGCTTGGGTTATAAGTCAGCATTTTTAATTTTATCTTTCAAATTTTTAAATTGTTTATAATTGAATTTATTGTCCATTTATTAGTTCAGTAGAAAATGGTACCCTTGAATAGTTTTCTTTTTTCTTAATAGCCGTTTTCTGATTCAGTAAAATGTCTTATTTGCCTAAAAGCGTTTATTTCTTACTTTACCTGAATTTGGAAATGGGATTTTGTCAACAATGCATTTATATTTGGGGACTATACATGAACATTACAGAGGGCCATCATAAATAAAATCAGGATAGCAATATATCTTTTTTAAAAAATTATAACCTTTATATCAAGACAGTCACTGTCTTAACCAAAATGTCAAAAGTGACAGCTGTAAAAATTATTTTCTTTATTCCTAAATACAAAGAAAACTGACTTTTTGTTTAGCTTCATTAGTTTTGCAGTATATTGTTTTTTCAAAATGGGGACACATGTTCACTTTTGCCATGATTTCTCTGGAAATTTAATAACCGTTCTCCAAAAGTGAATGTGGAAACAATTTTTTTAATAGACATGAGGCTCAAAATGAAATTATTTTAAAATATGCTCTAATTATATAGATAGATATGGCCAGGTTTCCTAAAACATTTTCCCTGAACTGTTCATTTGAGGCTTTTATGGTAAGATCTGAGTATGACAGTTAGCAGGTAAATCTTTTATGTCCTAAATCTTTATATAAAGAGCAGTTTTTAAATTAGTAACAATAATAAAAGATAAGACTTTTTTTTCTCTTTGTTTCCAGTTTCATTCATAAAATGAACACCACAGAATTTAAGAGTGCAACATTTCCAAATGCAGGGCCAAGACATCTGTTAGATGATAGCGTCATGGAGCCCCATGCGCCATCTCGAGGCCAAGCTGAAAGTTCTACTCTTTCTAGTGGAATATCAATAGGTGAGAAATACTTCTCTGAGAGGGTTGTAATTTAACATTAAATAAAAATGTTAACAAAACTTGACTGGAAAAAAACCCCACCACACATAGAGAAAATTTGGTTAGAAAACAAAGTAGCAGTTAAATACAGGATGAAGTTAATAATTTGTAATGGTTTTAAAAGTGCTTGCTGTTTTTAACTCCAGAAGAGGAAGCATTTGAAGAAGGTGGAAAAAGAACGTATGGACTGGTTGAATTAGTTAACTGCATGCGATTTGAATATGGGGAGGAGGAAGAGTGTGGAGTTAAGGATGACTTCAGGCTATTTGGGTTAAACAAGCATAATAGTTAGATGATGATGCTATTACCAAGGTAGAGAAGACAGAGTAATCTGTGGGCAGTGAAGTGTTTGTGAAGGGGGACTGAATTTGGGGAATCAGTTCTGTTTTGGACATGTTTAGTCCCTATGGAGATGTCAGGTAGGTTGCTGAATATATGAATCTGGAGCTCAGAGGGTTAAGGTCAGGTCTGAAGATATATGAGAAGTAGCATATTTATAAGCCATGATTGGTTGAGGGTACCTAAAGAGAGAGTGTACATAAATAAGAAAACATTCTCACATTTAGAAGTCTGATTATTTTTTAAATGAAGGATGGGTCATCAAAGGAAACTAAAAAGGAGAGATCAATGAAGTAGGGGGAAAAAAACAAAAGCCCAGTAGATGAAGTATCTCAAGGAGGAGGAAAGTACTGAATGTGTGAATATCAAATGCAAAAAAAGAGAGCTAAGATGAGAACAGAGAATTGACGGGGGTGATTTGGCAAAATAAAAGTCACTGGTGACCTTGGTAAGAGTTGCTTCATGGAAGTGTCAGGGCAAGGCCTAGATTGGAGTAGATTTGAAAATGAGAGGTGAGGAAACAGATAGCTAATGTGAAGAAGAGCAGAAAATTGGGACCATATTAGAAAGGGATGTGAGATTAAGAGAGGGATTTGTTTTTACTTCCTAAACTTTTAATTTTTGAGTCTTCTAGATGAACATTATTTCTTTTTACAATTAGAAATTATTCATACAGGCCGGGGCAGGGTGGCTCACGCCTGTAATCCCAGCACTTTGGGAGTCCCAGATGGGCAGATCTCTTGAGGTCAGGAGTTTAAAATGAGCCTGGCCAACATGGCAAAACCCCATCTCTACTAAAAATACAAAAATCATTGGGGTGTAATGGTGCATGCCTGTAATCCCAGCTACTTAGGATGCTGAGGCACAGGAATCATTTCAGAGCTCTCCATTACCATTCAGCAGTTGTTTATTCTGATAGTCCCCTTTTTATATAAAAATGCAAGTGAATAAATGATAAAATTTTTTTAAAAGACAAGTTTGTCACCTGAAATACCTCTTATTAATGTTCTGAGTGCCTATATGCAAATATTAATTTCAGTCTGAAGAATAATTTTGCAAAGGAAAGAACTTTTTTTCAGTCAAAAATTTTCTACACATAAGAATTTGGCATGCCACTTAAAGCACAAAGTAATTTTTAAAATTACAACTCTCAAGTACGTAATATTTTATTCTTGCTCATCATAAGTGTTATAGTGAGAATTATTCTATAGTTTATAGCTTTTACTTTTCATAGTTGTCCTTTTGGTTACCACAAGATTGTTGTTTAGTTATTTTATTGAGTTACAGTTAGCATTTCAGTGTGGAGACTTTTCTCTTTTAGAGCAGATTTTTGCATTTGTGTTTATTTTTTAATTATTCTAAGGCTAAGTAGGTAAACGGTAAAAGATCGTTGCATCCTAGTTTGTAAATTAAGAACATTACACATAGGCATTTACTTTCGAGGATTTTTGTTTTAAAGCTTTAACAATATGAAAAAAAGAGTAAGTCTATTACCATAAGATGATAGGTATTAACATATACATACAAGAGGTTTTTTTTTTTCTTAGCTTTAACTTTTACATGCAATATTAGTCTTCAGTGAAGGCTTTGAAAATACTGTGGGAAAATTAACCAGTGCTTAGAACAATGGCCTCAAACATTTTCTAATGTGATATCTATCCTAGATAATCTTGAGTAGTCTCACCTAGCTAACTAAGGGAAGCAGATTAACTCTGAGCTTCATGCTTACATTTTCTACAAATAAGTTATACTAATTATGCTTAAATTTTCAGTCTTTACCACATAGTGCCACAAATCAAAAGATATTGTAGATAATGTACAAAACCCCACCACCAGCACAGGTTACCTCTGGTTCTTCTTCTGAACCATACAATACAGAAGATTATTTCAGTGATTGTTATCTCAGTTTATCCAAGGATGGTACATAACTAGTGCCATTGCAAACCCGTAGAAGGGTATTAATCCATCGTCTCTAAGAGAGATGAGTCTAATGGATACCTTACAGCATCCATTACAGGTATCTGATGCTTACTTTACAGCATTAGAATTTGAGTCTTTCAGAATCCTGCTTGTAAAGTAGTCTCTCTTCTTAGAACCCTGTCTGATAGACAATTTAACTTGACCTATTAGTCATCCTAATTTTATTGAGAGCCAGAAATATCTTTAAAGTAACATTTAAGTCAACTAAACTGTTTTGGACTCTGAATTCATTCCCCATAGTTTTTTTGTTGTTTTTTTTTTCCCCTCTAGCTAATTTTAAACATTCTGTTTGAAGACCATTTTATTTTAACTGATCTTTTGGCCAAAGAGAAAATTGTTACATTTTTATAGCGTCAGTTTTTGGTTTTTTAAATTTAGAGATTCCATCCTCTTTAACTTTGTCTCTAGAGACAAAGAATTGGATTTCATTAGGCTTTTTATACTTAGGGTAGTAATGGACTTTGATACAAGAGAAAGAAGTGTGCCGTGAATCTCCAAGGATTTTATAATTATATTGGTCCTAAATTATGACAAATCTAATAAGAAACTTTGTGTTACTTTATTTTCGCTAATGGTAGGAAAAATTGTTTATTGACATAATGAATTTCAGCTACAAGTAGGCAAGCAAAAATGTTTTATGCTATTTTGTTATTTTAGGTTGTCGTGTCAACTGTATTCCAATATATTGCAAAATAAATCTAACAGCAGTAATATTAGAATAAAGAATTAATATGTGGATATGTTCACCCACAATGTGATTGTCATTTTATGAGCATAGGTTCGTTAATTTATTTTTAAATTGTGAAATGCAAACTAAGAGAGGTAATTCTGATGTTTAAAAAATAGAATAACTTTTCATTTTTAGGTAGCAGTGATGGTTCTGAACTAAGTGAAGAGACCTCATGGCCTGCTTTTGAAAGGTAAGATAAATTGTCCATTTGAACTACTTTGAGTTTATTTTGTCTGGGTTAAATAATGTGATAATACAAAATTAAGAGATAATATTTACTACATATCTGTGAGCGATTAAGTTTTCTACTGGTAAAAGAAATTAGAAGTTGGTATTTAAGTTTCGATATGTAAGTAATGAGAATGAATGATAGTCTTATCTCTAAATGTTTATTTGGTGGGATGACACATGTATTTGAATTTTAATACATTTAAAATTATAACTTAAAAATAATAACCAGTCATCGACAGGTAACCTGCTTAGGTATTCAAAAGATTATTTCCTTAAGTTCTGGTTCATTTAAGTAATTTTAAGGCATTTAGTGGAAGGGTCAACTTTATTTTCTGCTACTTTGTCAAAGACAAAATGATTTAATAAATTTTAAATTATACAAGTAAAGCAAGTTGAGGTTAGAATTTAAATTGTCATAAACTCAAAATTTTCAGAGTACACTTTCATACTGAAATACTGTAAGTTGTGCTCCCTTCTCCTTCCTTTGTTGCTTTAAGCTGTTAAAGCTATCGTCTGCTATATCATGCTATATTGAGGTCTAAGTACATATAAGATCTGAAGAATGTGACCGAACAAGGCAAATAATTATTTATTAAATGTCCATTAGGATTCTTATGTTTTCACTGACCATTTCAGTTCTGCCATTTCAGACTCATATTTGGCTCTTGACCAAAATAATTGCTCCCCTTTTGTATATGAACTAAGTAAGTTTCTAAAAATACCTGTATTCATTACTCAAAAAGAGGGTCATTTAGATTGAATGTTAAATGTCATATTAATACTGAAGTTGAAAATGTTTATTTGCCTAACTCCTTATCAGTCACAATTTTAGAAAACAAGTTTAAATCAAATTTTATTTGAAATCATAAATTTCATGCTGTTTAATTGGAAAAATAGATCCTTACTTTTTATGTGACTTCATAAAGATTTCTCACTATTATGTGGTTAAGATTTTGTTTATAAATTCTACATTGCAAAGTACTTTGAATCCTTTCTACTCTTAATTATCAGCGTTCCCAACTTTTGTTCTCTTTGTTTTGTGAGATAATAATAAGTAAAAACAAATTATTTTTATTTATTTTTGTATTATTTTCCTTCCAACCTTTACTTTTGATCTATTCATTTGGGTTTGCCTGAAATGTGAAAAACACAAGAATTGCCTTTGATATATTGTCTGAATTTGTTCAAATTGTCTTTCCCTCTAGAAAGAATGTAATACCATCAGAAGTTGATTATAGAGTATATTGTAATCTTTATATTTAAAAAATATTGATTAACCAAATTGTTTTTTAGATTGCTTGACTTATGAGTAACCAGAATGGTGGTGTGTTAAATAATCTGTTCTCATCCCAACAGGTTACTTATGAAGACAGTATTTAATGATGTTACCTTCACATCTCAAAACAATTTTTTTCCTTTATAACAGATGTTTTGCTTTGCAGACATTTGTGGCTAAAAAATCTACTTTTCTTATTCCAAATTTAAATTAGTGGGCTCTTGGAACATTTTGAGAACAGTGAAATGAATGCTGCCCAGCAAGATTCAGACATGAAATAATAGAAAGTGAATACAGAACTAAGATTTAAAGTACTACTCATGGATAGTGAAGTTGAAAAATGTACTCTGAATGTTAACATACCATTTTCTGTTCTTATTTTCTAGACATCAAATACAAGTTGCTAAAATAATGCTTTTTCTTCAAAATATCATTTATCAACAGTGCTACTTTCAGGTTTTCCTAGGCAAAGAAGTATCAGTATTTTTATGTGTCTGTTTTTATTTTTTTTGTTTTTAACTATTATGTACCATTTTGAATAATTATTAACTCATCATTTTTATCATTTATTGGCTTTGTCAGTTAATGTAGAAATAATGCCTATATTACTCAGTTCATTTCTTTTATTAGTTTTATTTACTAGGGATAAAGAGGAAAATAAAGTTTTCCTCATGAGTTTTAAGTTTACAAGCCACATTGTTTTTAGGTGTCTTCATAGGGACATATAATAAAAATGAATTACTTATATAAATCCGGGCATCATATTTAAACTGGAATCCAAGAAGTGGTATAGAAATGTAAGCAAATTTGAAGTATTTTTCAGGTTTTTTTATTATTTGGCTATAAATAGCTCTTTAATTCTTTTAGCAGATTTGTGAAAGTGAATATATATAAAAATATATGATGTGTACTAAATACCTCTAAGTATTTCTAGAGTCAACAGTAGAAGAAAAAAATTTTTTAAATCTATGCTGCATGCTTTAAAAAAGAAAGAGGAACAATCACACATACTTTCCTTTTGTAAGATTTAGAAAGCTATATTACAAGAAGAAACTATTATACTGTTCTAGGTATTGATAATGGCTGTGTGAATAAAAGTATATGTAATACATACAATTTATAATGGAATCCAACAGGAACAGATTATACCATTCTCTCGGCCCGGTGACAAGAGTGGCACGAAATGGCTATCGAAGTCACATGAAGGCCAGCAGGTACAATTCCCCTGCATTCAGGGGTCACAGAACTCCCTTATGGTGTTGGTGATTGGCTTACATGGGTGTGGTCTGACATTATTTCTCCTCTTTCTCAACTAATTGATTTAAAAACTAAACAAATTACCCAGAAAAACTTTCTTTCCGAGATCTAATGTGAAGATAAATTTCAACTATTCTTTCTGATCCACAGAGCTAATTGCCAGAACTTGCATCTTAATGTTACATATTTTAAAATGCTTCCAAGTTGGTAGCCTTTAAACTGCACAGGTCTTTCTAATGCTGATAGTTTTTGAATGAACAATATAAAAATCTGCTTATTTATTCATAAGTTGTAATCAAAGCATTTACTTTGCTAATAAATTTACATTTGATTTGTCTTTTTAAAAAGTTTTTCAGATAAACTACAGGTCCTGAATGTAGACAAGTCTGTTTCATAAAATAATCATTTGTATATTTAAATTCATATTTGCTCAGTTGTTCATCTAGTTAAACCAGGTCTCTTTTGGACTGTTATTAGCTGTGGAGGCAGATAAGGGTGGTGTATTGATTGGGAACGTAGGGTTTAGTGGTGATGGGTAATCAATTCATAATACAACAAAATACCAAACTTCAGAAGCAAATTTTACGTCAGTTTGATGGTGTCTAATCTCCCTGCATATACCTCCCTGAATATAAATAGCTCTAGCGTGAAATTTCTACTGGTTTATAGGTTCTTAAGTCACTTTGAAGACACCTAAATAATCCCAAAGGAATAAACTGGCAACCTTTAGTTTTCATTGCTCTTATAGGAATTCTGCAGCTTATGTCAAGTCACCAGTGACATTTTTATCAGCATGTATGTTTAATTGGCTCATGTAGAAATCATTAATTATTGTATTAAACATTGGACCTTAAATCAATTAGGGAAAGATATTAAAGTGTTGGTTATTTTGTGATTTTTTTTTTAAAGATACATGAAAAGGAAATCTTGGGGTTTGAGTTTTTTCCTTTCGTGGAGAGCAAATTACCATTGACACCATTTAAATGTTATTAAAATGTATTGCAGAAAGCTAGTTTTTAAAATATATTATTATTGACTTTATTACTTTCTGCTATTTTAGAATTAAATTAAGCATGAGTTTTCTTTTTTTCTTTTTGAGCTTCTCTTTTTATTTTCAGTTTTATTATACTTAAATGCTTTTAACAAATAGAATCCTCATTTTTCCTACCAGGACTTAAAGTTTCTATGGGGAAAATAAGGTTACAAGAGTGATGCAGTGTGGCATGTTAAGAAGAAAATAAATCTTAAATTTTTAATTTAATATTTACTAAAGTGAATTACTGCATTCTTTCTAAATTATACTTGTTCAAATATGTAATAAAGTATGTTTTTTAACCATCTGCTGACTTTAATAACTTTTAATCAACTTTTTGTGACAGCTTATAAATTTCAAGATTAATAAACCTTTAAAATTGTCAGTGTCGCCTCAGCTCTGAATAAAGTAACAAAGTTTTAAAATTAAAATTAAGAATAATTACTTTTTTTAAGTACCTAATTAATGACTATTGTAGACAAAAGCTCTTATGTGTTCTTTTCTTCATCATTATAGTTCTGCAGAATCAGAAGATTTGGCAGTACATTTATATCCAGGAGCTGTTACTATTCAAGGTGTTCTCAGGAGAAAAACTTTGTTAAAAGAAGGCAAAAAGCCTACAGTAAGATTTCATCATATGATATTTTAATACACCTCTAAAAATATACAAATGTATATAAGACTCTGTAAAGTGCTAGAACAATTAAAATAAAGCCTGAATATAGTAGACTTGAAATAATATTAAATAAGGTCCTCCCCGCTTATCCTTGGGTCATCCATTTCAAGACTCTCAGGGGATTACTGAAACCTCAGATAGTACCAAACCACATTACCATCATTTGGAACATGTTTCTATTCATATCTTCCATCCGCAAATATAATACCTTTTCTGTCTTAACTAAGCACTTAACCCCACACAGTAGCCATAACTTTTGCAGTTTGAGATGCAATAGCAAAACTAGCATGAATTTCTTTTTCCTTCTTCGTAATTTCACACATAGAAAATTTGTTCTTACCATGGATCTCAGCAACCTTAGCGTCTAATTTTTCTTTCCTTAAGCCAAGAACTTTTCTTTTCACTTAAGGAAGCAGTAGGGAGTGGGCCACAAGGGTAACACATATAGTATGGAGATGCTGGACAAAGAAAGGGATGATTGTGTCCACAGAAGGACAGATTAGAACTGTATTACTCAGAACAACACGTGATCTTAAAATCTATGAATTGTTTACTTCTCATATTTTCCAAAAATTTTTTTACACTATCGTTGCCTGTGGGTAACTGAAACCACAGATAAGAGGGAAACTATTGTACACATTTGCTTTACCATGTTTTCTTAACATAAAGTGTTATTATATGTGCCATATAGATTTCTGTTAAATCATGTGTTAAGGGTGCTTAAATCCTGTACTTTTTTTTACCCCCATTATAGTTCTTATACAAAATTATTTCTTAGAGAACCCTGAAAGTATATCATGAAGAAGTATTTTAGTATTAAGTTTAGGTAAAGTAGAAAATAAAGAGTAACAACCCTAAAAACTGGAATTTGATTGTACTTTATCATTTTATTTAAATGCCTGTAATACAGTTTTGTTTTCTACGTAAAATAGAACACAAATATAAAATGCTTTCCAAACCATAAGTATATTGGGGGGAAAAAAAGGAAGATTGGTGGAACTGAGCTCTTAATATGTATCAAAGAAGTTTATTCTTCCTGAACACCAGCATAGTAGTTTGACTACTAAGGAACAATTTTTTTCCCTTTCTCAAATTTGAAATATAAAACCTTTGATATATATTCACACTTAAAGCTTTTGAAGAAATGGGGGCTTCATATAAGTAATCTTACTTTGCTGCTTATATCACAGTAAGCCAAAGGCACATACAAATCAGGAATCTCTTAGACAGGCTAATGAACACAGAATTGCATGTCAGTTGAAGCATTACCATACCTTTTGTGTGCTGAATGCTAGAAATAGAGCAGTGAATAAGGTGAGGCAAAGTGTCTTCTCCTGGATTACATTCCAGTGAGGAGAAATAGAGAATAAGGCTTTAAAATAAGGTCATAGGATACAGAATGATGGAACAAGGAGGGTTGCCACCGTGGCAAAACATTTGAGCTGAGATCTGAATGAGGTAGGTAAGTTAGCTGTGTGACTATCTAGAGTTCAGGAGACAAGAAGGCTTGTATAGTTTACGCATTTCAGTTTCCCCATTGAAATTGGGGAAGGTGGAGGAGATCAGGTAAGAGGCAAAAGCTGGAGTTGTTCGATGATAAATTAAATGTGATGTATAAGAGAAAGCATGAAAACAAAGATAACTTCTAGGTTTGGGGACTGAGGTGGGTGGATGTTGGGGACATTTATTGAAATAGGGGGCAGGTCAGTCTTGGCCAAGTTCAGTTTGATATGCTTATTAAACATTCAAGTGGAGATGTCATTGTGGCTCTTGAAACAGTGTGGATCATGAGGTTAGCAGAGAGGTGGCAGGGAGAGAGATTTGGGAGTCATTAACATACAGATAGATAGTATTTGAAATATGGATCTGGATGATAGATTAAGAAGAAAGTATAGCTAGAGAAGAAAACAGGGTTGGAGATGGGGCTCTGTAGCGTTGAAGGTCTCCCACAAAGAAGAGTATAAAGGAAAATTAAGGAACTGTTATCCCAGAAGCCTAGCAGTTACCATACTTCAGAAACGAAAGAGTGGCCAGCTGGGTCAGATGCTGCTAAGAGGCTGGCTATGATGAGGACGGAGGCTTTGCTAAAATTAACAATCATCAGTGACCTTGATGACCCAAAAGCCAAATGAAGTGAGTTGAGTAGAAAATGGGCAAAACAGAAGTAGAGGCAAGATTTAGAGACTCCCTTGCAAGAAGTTACACTGTGAAAAGGAGCAGAGAAATTGGTTGGTGTCTGGGGTGTAAGGAGATGGGTCAAAGGAGGGATTTTAAAGGGATTTTAAGGTTCATTTGTATAAGGATGGTAGAGGGAGAGAGATTGAGAAGCAGTGGAGTTAATTGCGAAAGCAAACTTCTTAGAGATAGTTGGAATCTAGGGCATAAAAAGAGAGTTGAGTTTGTTTTTAGATAGAATCAGGGTTAACTATTTTATTGTAGCTGGAAGAAAGACTGAGTATGTGGATCTGCAAACAGAAAGGTAGTTAGATGGAAGTGACAGGAATATTTGATATTAAGATTTCAGAAGTGATACAGCTCAACTCTGAGGTTAGTCCTTTGGTTGAAGTGAAGTGGACTTGATCATTGGCACTTAGAATGTAAAGAAACTAAGAAACCAGGAGCATTTTAATAGTATATTCATGTGTTTGTCCTATCCAGGTAGCATCTTGGACAAAATATTGGGCAGCTTTGTGTGGGACACAGCTTTTTTACTATGCTGCCAAATCCCTAAAGGCTACAGAACGAAAACATGTAAGTATTTGTTCTCTACATTTTTAGCATGGTTTCACAGACTGTTCATGGTTATAAAGAAAGCAGTCCTAATGGGATACAAAGGTTTTTTGGGTTTGCTCTTGTTTTTTCCTATCTTCTAGTCCAAAAGTTTTTACATTTATTTCTTTTTTGAATGCCATTTTTCCATTGCAGATGTCAAAACTGCACATTAAGCTTATCTATCTTGTCACCAAAGCTTTCTCAGATCTGGGTTTCCTGTTCAATATTGTTCAAAACTATTGCCTTGGAATTTCCTTTCCTAACCAGCAAAATGTGGAAATGTGGGGCCAACATCTAAAGTTCTTTCCACCTCAGTCTCTGGTTTAGTGATTCTTCCCAACAATGAAGAGGAATGATCAGTTACAACAGTTACTTCGGTCACTTTCTTGTGCTTCATATTACTTAAAAGAAGCCTTTTTTTCACCCTGTAGAATTTTCCTATAAATCTCTTTTGCATGCTGTTTGTTTTTACATAGAATCTTTGAAAGGAAGAATGATTTTCTATGTTGCATTAATAAAATTTGAGAGGAATTTTACTTCTAAGTCACATATTTTGGGGAGAAAAATTAAGTGGTTTATCCTACTGAGAAAAGGTAAGCCAGTGAAGAAAAATTTATGTCCTTTTTCTACTTAAAACTTAACCAAATGATACTGTGTAATTCAGAGTAATTCAGAGAAACTCTTCTTTATTCTCACAGTTTTAGCCCTTTAATCAAACCGGAGGTATAGAAAAGAACATTTTTTGGTTTAAATGAATGTGGGAAGTACCATAAGATAGCATTGCCTTTCTTTATCAACCATACCCACCACCTGCCACTCTCCTGACCATCATGACTCATTGTCTTGCTTTTCTTCAGAGTGTTAGCATATATGTTTCCCTAATTCATGGTTTCATTTTTTAACTGTACCTCAGTGGGATCATATGTATTCTTAAGTACTAGTTTTTTGCTCACTATTATTATATAATTGTTTAGATAGCTCTTGCATTGAGATAAAGGACTTGAGTGAATGATCATGGAGATTTCTACTGTGAATATTTTTTGTAATTCTGGTCAAATTGACAATAATGCCTATATACCCTACAACATTTACACAGATTAGTTTTGCTGAAACAATTTGTAGAGTTAGTACTGCTGTTCTCAAAGGGAGAAAAAAGTTGGATTCATTCAGTTCAGTTAAATCCTTTATCTTCAGATGTAGAAAGTAACTTTTCACATAGCCACACTGAGATCTTGCTGGCTAGATTTCACTTAGCTGACTATTATAGAAAAGTCATTATTCAAAATAAAGTGGTTTTTTGGGTTTTTGTTTTTTCTTAGTTTCAATTAGAAAAAGTGCAAATTAAAGAAGTTATAACTGAATTTGTCATCTAATGGATATGTTAAATATTGTTTTATGCTTTGCATTGTTGCTTATGCATAAAAAGTTACTATTATGTTATAGTTTGGGTTTTTATTTATATGAGGTTTCTGATAGGTAATGTATGCAAAATGTTTGGAAATTAAAGCATAGTGGGTTGGGAGAAAATCTTATTGAGTACCAAGGAAATTGACTGCATTTCTCATCTTTTCTAATTAAATTAAAATATAATTAAAGAATAAATTTGAAGAACAGGATAGAGTGTATAGAGACAGGTCTAGATCTGTAGTATTAATTTTGAGATAGAAAAGATATGGCACAAAACTAAATGGAACAAAAAAATTTTAATTATTTTCAAATAAAGTTAAAATACAAATAGATTGGAGGAAAATATCTGCTATATGTAAGCAACAGATAAAGGATTAAAATCACTATTTAAACATAGCACCACCTATATTGTATTTTTGCCAAAATAATTTAACCTGAATCTTACGAGGAAATAATCAAATCCAAATTGTGGGACATTCTTTGAGACAGCTGGCCTAGATTCTTAAAAAGACCAAAACTTGGCAGGTGGAGTAAGGGCAGGGGGACAGGAGGACTGTTCTAGATTAAAGGAGACTTGACAACTAAATGCAGTGTATGTTTTAGTTGAATCCTGGAGTTATATTGGGGAAAAAATTTAAAAAGCTATACAGGTTATTATTGGAACAATGTAAGAAAATGTAATATGGACTTTATATGGTTGTCTGTTCAGTTTCTTAGAAATGATAATTATGTTGTGATTGTATAGGAATATATTCTTGTTATTAAAAGACACATTGAAATCTTTAGGGTTCAATGTTATGATAGCTGCAATTTGCATTTGAGAGAGATCAAACAAATACAAAAATGTAGATTAAGGATATATGGCTAATCGTGGCATTCTCAACTTCTATACAGTTTGAATTTTTTCAAAATAAAAAGCTGGAGGAGAAAAAAAATCATAGATTAAAATATACCTGTTCATGTATGTATATAAACCCAGAAGTGGGACATATGGAAGTCCGTATACCTTATTTTAGTATTCTATAAAGTATATATTCTTTTTGCCTATGAAGAACGGAGTTTGTGTGGGTAGGGTGATCAACCTCACTAACTATTTAAAAATGCAAATTAAAGGAGACACTTTCTTGCCATTAGACAAAAATTTAAAGGATTGATGATATAGCATTGGTCATGATATGGGGAAACAGACTGTCATCCATGGCTGGTAGAAATCTAAATTGGTATTGTTTTTGGCCGGGCGCGGTGGCTCAAGCCTGTAATCCCAGCACTTTGGGAGGCCGAGACGGGCGGATCACGAGGTCAGGAGATCGAGACCATCCTGGCTAACACGGTGAAACCCCGTCTCTACTAAAAATACAAAAAACTAGCTGGGCGAGGTGGCGGGCGCCTGTAGTCCCAGCCTCCAGGAGGCTGAGGCCGGAGAATGGCGTAAACCCGGGAGGCGGAGCTTGCAGTGAGCTGAGATCCGGCCACGGCACTCCAACCTGGGCGGCAGAGCGAGACTCCGCCTCAAAAAAAAAAAAAAAAAAAAAAAGAAATCTAAATTGGTATTGTTTTTATGGTGGCCAGTCCTAGTCAGTATTTAGCTTGATAATAACCAGAAATTCCTCATCTGAGAATCTGTCCTACAGAAATGTTTGAACAAGTGCACAAAGATTATCTGTAGAAGAACATTTCTATAATATTTATGACAACAGAAATCTGGAAATATCCAAAATACTTATCAATAAGGAAATGGTTACTGATAGGTGAAAAACACAAGTCAGAGAGTAAATATATCCCCCATTAATAGGTAAAAACCAGCAGCAACAATGACACAAGCCTCTGATAAAATAAATGCATAGAATAAGGTCTGGAGGTTGTCACCTCAAGTGATGATTGTGTCTAGGGAATGTGATGGGATTCAGCTGGTGGTCAAGGGGCATTTGCACTCTAGTTTCATCCCTGTTTCTGAAGCAGTTTATGTTGCTTGAGTTACTTTTTATTTTTTGAAAAAAGGAATTGAGGTAGAGGTTTTTAGGCTTAGGAAAAGAATATTAGAAGATCATACTATTCATGTTGAAGTACATTATGAGCTGTCAAATCAACAGTCCTGTGGTAGAGCCAATTTCATTCTTCCCAGTACTAAAACTTACTGATTTCTTTAGCTTTCATATTTCAATTTCATGTTGTTATAAATGTGTCATGTTCATTCTTTTTCCCATTTCCTTTAATCGTGAAGCATATCATACATACAAAAGATAGGTAGTGTACATGTACATTTTAAAGCATAATAAATAAAATGAACACCTGTATACTCTCCACCCAGTGTGAGAAACAGAACGTTACTAGAACTATCACAGCCTTCCCGGAGGCATCCACTTCTTTCCTGACAACCATATCGACAGCCTGTCACTGTCCTGAATTTCCTGTTAATTGTTACCTTATTTTTTAGTGTTTTACCATGTACACTTCCTTATACAATGCACTGCTTCATTTTTAAACAGTACCTGAATGGCTTCACATACATGTTCTTAAGCACTAGCTTAAGCCAACCTGTTCTTCTTTTATTACTGCCCTTTCTCAGGATTAAAAAAAAAGGAAGTTGTAGCTAAAATAATAATAACAAAAGAATAGTTAACTACAAAAGTAATAGACATGCTAAGAATACCCCTCTTTTTTGAAAAATGCAAGTAAGAGTATTGTCATTAAGAATTACCTGGTTGCAGTGAGCTGAGATCACACCACTGCACCACAGCCTGGGCAACAGAGTGAAACTGTCTCAAAAAAAAAAAAGAACTCTCTGATTTGTTACATCATCAGATTTAAGATAACATAGCTACTAAAATGCAAATGTCCTTCCTATAAGGAGTAGTACAGTAATTCAGAAAAAAACAACAGATTAATATATCATATTCACAAACATATTATGCTCTCTGGGAATGGAGAATAGATCAGTTAGGTTTTGATGAAGAGTAGAAGCTGGGAAGGTCTGGAAAGTAGGAGATTATCTGAAGAAGGCATGCCTAGGATGAAATTTAGCAGTGAAAGGACCCAGGCTGACCAAGACCCAGCATGAAGTCACAGATCTCATCTTTCATTAGGAGAAACTGAAAATACACTCCCTAACACCGAAGTTTTGCTTAGAATAAGCCATAAATTTTCTGTTTCCACTAATTATCTTTTTTTCTCTCAGTTCAAATCAACATCCAATAAGAACGTATCTGTGGTAGGATGGATGGTGATGATGGCTGATGACCCTGAACATCCTGATCTCTTCCTGCTGACTGACTCTGAGAAAGGTGAATTGTTAGAATAACTGGGGTTTATGATACTGCATATATATATGTGTTTGTGTATATGTATGTGTGTATGTATATATGTCTATATATAATGTTTTATGCATACATGAAGAACTTGATGAGCCAAAACCTAGTTTCACTGGAATACTCAAGAGGGAAAGTGTTTGTGTAGTTTTATCTATTGGGAAATACTTTTGTCCCATTATGTATTTTAATAGTATTTTTGGAGCTTATTTTCTTTGCTACATGGGCATATGCTTGAAAATTAGAAAGCCCAGCTAATCCCTAGAGACCTAACTAGGAAAGGAGGGAGGGAATTTGAGAATATATAACCCCACTGTTACTTCAGATTTTTAGAGACTTGCCATATAGTCCATACTCCTTCCTTCATCAATACCTTGAAATGATTATTCTTAAGTTCTGAAAGTGGCAGTTTTCCTTTAAATATTTATTCTATCACTTTTAATTATTCAGAACCAATATTGTGCAGTCTTATCCACACAGATCTAGAGATGCCACACAATTACTGTATTTATTTAGATGTATTTTATTCTAAAGAATATTTAAAAACAAAATTACTTATTTTAATCCATAAGCAATGAAACAGTGACTTTCTGAATATATTTGGCTCAGATTACTTTCCAAGTTAATTATAATATTTTACATACAGTATGTAGAGAGACACTTATGAATAAAATAACTGGCTATTGACCATTGGAGTTTATAAAGTAGATATGAGAAATTGGAGGATGGGCCATGTAGAATCACATCGTACATCCTTACTCTACCAGTGACTGTAGTGGATACCACAAAGCTCATCAGAACATATCCTCAAGTGGTTGCTTTTCTTCCATCATAACTGCTAGCAGTTGACAAGTACCAGAAAGAAGATACTTTCAGTAGCTCACAACTGGAATACTATATTATGTTACCTTTTATTGATTTCACAACTATATTTTGACCTCTGTTCAGATGCTGTTTTGTATCAACAGATACCCCACTTTTGTGATGTTTCAGTGTTTTAAGTAAACAAGTAAGCAAATATATTGGAGGCAGGAAAAAATAATAATACCAAAATGTCTTGTTTTTAGATTAAGTAGATTGATTCACAGAATAAATACACCCTACTCAACATTTTTTTCCCATAAGTTGTTGGGGTACAGGTGGTATTTGGTTACATGAATAAGTTTTTTAGTGGTGATTTGTGAGATTTTGGTGCACCCATCACCCAAGCAGCATACACTGCACTCTGTTTGTAGTCTTTTATCGTTTGTCCCCCTTCCTACTTTCCCCCCCAAGTCCCCAAAGTCCATTGTATCATTCTTATGCTTTTGCATCCTCATAACTTAGCTCCCACATATCAGTGAGAACATATGATGTTTGGTTTTCCATTCCTCAGTTACTTCACTTAGAATAATAGTCTTCAATCTCATCCAGGTCACTGGAAATGCTATTAATTCATTCCTGCTTATGGCTGCGTAGTATTCTGTCACATAGATATACCATAGTTTCTTTATCCACTCGTCAATTGATGGACATTTGGGTTGGTTCCACGATTTTTCAATTGTGAATTGTGCTGCTATAAACATGCGCATGCAAGTATCTTTTTCATGTAATGACTTCTTTTCCTCTGGGTGGATACTCAGTAGTGAGATTGCTAGATCAAATGGTAGTTCTCCTTTTAGTTCCTTGAGGAATCTCCACACTGTATTCCATAGTGGCTGTACTAGTTTACATTCCCACCAGCAGTGTAGAAGTGTTGCATGTTTACTGCATCCGTGCCAACATCTACTGTTTTTTGATTTTTGTGATTATGGCCATTCTTGCAGGAGTAAAGTAGTATTGCATTGTAGTTTTGATTTGCATTTCCCTGATCATTAGTGATGTTGAGCATTTTTTCATTTGTTTGTTGGCCATTTGTATATCTTCTTTTGAGAATTGTCTATTCATGTCCTTAGTCCACCTCTCGGTGGGACTGGTTTTTTTCTTACTGATTTGTTTGAGTTCATTGTAGATTCTGGATATTAGTCCTTTGTCAGATGTATAGATTGTGAAGATTTTCTCCCACTCTGTGGGTTGTCTATTTACTCTGCTGACTGTTCCTTTTTCTATGCAAAAGCTCTTTAGTTTAAGTAGGTCCCAACTATTTATCTTTGTTTCTATTGCATTTGTTTTTGGGTTCTTGGTCATGAAATCCTTGCCTAAGCCAGTGTCTAGAAGGGTTTCTCCAATGTTGTCATCTAGACTTTTTATAGTTTCAGGTCTTAGATTTAAGTCCTTAATTCATCTTGAGTTGATTTTTGTATAAGGTGAGAGATAAGGATCCAGTTTCATTCTCCTACATGCGGCTAGCCAGTTATCCCAGCACCGTTAGTTAAAAAGGGTGTCCTTTCCCCACTTTATGTTTTTGTTTGCTTTGTTGAAGATTAGTTGGCTGTAAGTATTTGGGTTTACTTCTGAGTTCTCTATGTTATTCCATTGGTCTATGTGCCTAGTTTCATACCAGTACCATGCTGTTTTGGTGACTATGGACTTATAGTATAGTTTGAAATCAGGTAATGTGATGCCTCCAGATTTGTTCTTTTTGCTTCGTCTTGCTTCGACTGTGGTGGGCTCTTTTTTGGTTGTATATGAATTTTAGAATTGTTTTTTCTAGTTCTGTGAAGAATGATAGGGGTATTTTGATGGCTATTGCATTGAATTTGTAGATTGCTTTTGGCAGTATGGTCATTTTCACAATATTGATTCTACCCATCCATGAGCATGGGATGTGTTTCCATTTGTTTGTGTCATCAGTGATTTTTCTTGCAGTGTTTTGTAGTTTCCTTGTAGAGATCTTTCGACTCCTTTGTTAGGTATATTCCTAAGTGGTTTTTTTGTTTTATTTTGTAGCTATTATAAAAAGCTTTGAGTTCTTGATTTGATTCTCTGTTTGGTTGCTGTTGGTGTATAAAAGCCTACTCAAAATTTTGAATTCAAAACCCCAGCCTCCTTCCCATGTCAAAGGCATAATTAATGAAATTAAATTTTAAGATGAGAGCATTTTCATTGGATTTAGTTAACAGATTCTTTGTTTTCTTCCGTTTTTCTTAGCTTGCCTAATAGAACTACTTCAGGTAGCCAAAATTTTATGAGGTCTATCTATACTAATGGTTTTTTGCAGGGGAGGAGTGAGTATGTAAGTTGTAGCTGTGACCAGATTAATTGTAGATATGCCTTCTTTTCACATTGACCTAATGTCTGTGTCTGAGTTCAGCAAGTGTAACAATGTTACTTGACTAATTAAACATTTGGTGAAGAAACAATTACTTCGGAAAGTGAAAAAGTTATTTGAGTGTTAGAGTCTCAAGGAAAAGCTGAATAATGCTTAAATATAGTTAGGTTCTTGAGCCATTGAATACAGTTATTAAGGAAAGAATAGAATTCAGCAAAAATTGTGAAATAAAAAGAACTTAGGTCAGTGAAAAAAGGAAATAAAGCTTAATTTAGAGCAGCCTATAGTACATGGATCCTTTCTTTTCTCAACTTATTGCTTCCTCACCTTAATACATGTAACCATTTAAAATATCCTCATTATATGTCAGTCTTGAATTAAAGTCAATATAGGAACTACTAAATACGGACAGCTCAAATGAATTTCTAATTTCTTAAAAGAGAAAAAGTTGCCTCGTAGACTTTCCCCAGGGGCCCTCAGCAGAACTGGAAATCTGTAATAACCTTGACAAATGTCTTGGAACTAAAGACTAAAAGCATAGTCTATCAATATTATATGACTAATCCTTAATTATACTAAATAGCAAGTGTTTAAGTGTTAAACATGTTGAAGCATTTTGGCATGTTAAAACTTAACATCTACTAATATTTAGGCCGGATGTGGGTGTGAGGACTCATGCCTGTAAATCCCAGCACTTTGGGAGGCCAAGGCAGGCAGATCACTTGAAGTCAAGAATTCAAGACCAGCCTGGCCAACATGGTGAAACTCCGTCTCTACTAAAAATACAGAAAACTTCGCTAGGCATTGTGGTGCACACCTGTAATCCCAGCTTCTTGGGAGGCTGAGGCACAAGAATCTCTTAAAACTGGGAGGCAGAGGTTGCAGTGAGCTGAGATCACGCCACTGTACTCCAGCCTGGGTGACAGAGCGAGACTCCATCACAAAAAAAAAAAAAAAAAAAAAAACAAAAAACTATTATTTAGATATCTAAGTAGTAAGTATTCAGAACCAATATTCTGCAGTCTTATCCACACAGATTTGAGATGCCACACAGTTATTTTATTTAGGTGTATTTTATTCTTAAGAACATTTAAGGAGACAAAATTATTTCTTCTAATTCATAAGCAGCAAAAGTGACTTTCTGAATATATGATAGCATGTAAATGTGTTGCATCAAGAATTCTTTATTGTATTGGAAATACAATAAAAATAGGAAATACAATAAAATGGAGGTGTTAAGTGAATAGACTTCTAAAACTGAAAACTCTAGTCATGTTTAATTTGTTCATTAATATCTGGCATAAGTATTATGTGTCATTGTCCTTACATTTTTATTATTTCCCCCTTGTTTTGGATAATTTTAGGAAATTCATACAAGTTTCAAGCTGGCAATAGAATGAATGCAATGCTATGGTTTAAGCATTTGAGTGCAGCCTGCCAAAGTAACAAACAACAGGTAAGCATTTCTCCTTAATTCTCAGAATAGTCCATAATTTGGGAATATATGTAAAAGAGTTCCAAGAGAAGTAAACAAACTAGTTCTGAGTTAACTACGAGAATGGTGGTGGTTTTATTCTTGTTAACTACAGTTAATAAGACATGAAGGTCTACATTTTAGTAAGGAGCTAGACAATAATCATCAAACAAGTAACAAAATATCAAACAGTCAGAACTATATAAAGAAAACAAAATAGAAGTATGTGATGCAGAGCAATGGGAGTACAGACAACTTTTGATAACATAAAAATCTCCCTGAGGAGATGGTACTGACATGAACCACAAGAAGGAACGAGCTATAAGAAGAGAAGAGCAGAGTACTGTTTAAGGGAAGAGCAAGTACAGGGAGCCTGAAACTGGAACAAGCTTAAGGTGTGTTCAAAGCAGAGAAAGGTAGGCAGTATAGTAGTCAAGAGTATAGTTCTCTAAAGGATAAAAATTAGATGGCATATTAAATTAATAAAAATTATTCAAATTCATCTTTATTTGATCTGTTGACAAATTGATGTCTGTGGTGGTAGTGAAACCAAAAACCATTTGGATTTTATTTGCTTTTATGTTACTGAAACAAAAATGGTCTAATTGAAAGGCTTTCAGCTGCAGAAGAGCAGGAATCCATTGTGTTGTTTTCCCCAAACCTTGTTGCACAGTTAAAGTTGAGCCACAGATTGGTAGAGCAGACATAAAAAACATAGCCGCATTTACAGAAATTTATGTAGACTTGTGGAACCAGTTGTTTGTTAAATATATTTGAAAATCATTGACTTAGCATATTGGTAATACAGAAGTACATAGTTAGCTTTATCAGTAAGTAATATTGAATATGATGCACTATGTCAGCTTAGAAAGCTTACAGAAGTATTTTTCACCCTGTCGTATCAAGATGTAAGTTATTACCCTTTCTTGATCATTTAAACTAAGGCTCCGCCATACAAAATGACCTACATGGGTCACACAAATAAAAAATGGTGGATTCAAACTTTCTTCATCCTTTAAATCCATTCTTTTTGTTTGTTTTTTGACTTTTGGGTTCAGAGGGTACTTGTGCAAGTTTGTTACATGGGTATACTGCGTGTCACTGAGGTTTGGTGTATAAATGATCCCATCACCCAGGTAGCGAGCAGGGTACCCACTGGTTTTTCAACTGTCACCGCTCTCCCACCCTCCCCGCTCTGGTAATGCTCAGCGTCGATTGTTCCCATCTTTGTGTCTAGGTGTATTCGGTGTTTAGCTCCCACTTATAAGTGAGAACATGCAGTATTTGGTTTTCTTTTCCTGCATTATTTCACTTAGTGGCCTCCAACTGCATTCATGTTGCTGCCAAGGACATGATTTCACTGTTTTTTAAAAATCACTGTGTAGTACTCCATAGCATATATGTACCACATTTTCTTTATCCAATCCACTGTTGATGGGCACCTAAGTTGATTCCATGTCTTTACTATATAGTGTATACTGCTGGGATGAACATACATGTGTCTTTTTGGTAGAACAATTTATTTTCCTTTGAGTATATGCTCAGTAATGGAATTGCTGGGTTGAATGGTAGTTGTTTTAAGATCTTTGAGAAATGTCCAAACTGCTTTCCACGGTGGCTGAACTTACATTCCTACCAAGCGTATAAGCATTCCCACCAAGCGTATAAGCATTCCCTTTTCTCTGCAACCTTGCCAACATCTGTTATTTTTTGACTTAGCTATTCTGAGTGGTGTGAGATGGTATCTCATTGCAGTTTTAATTTGCATTTCTCTGGCAATTAGTGATATTGGGCATTTTTCAAATGCTTGTTGGCCATGTGTATTTCTTCTCTTGAGAAGTGTCTGTTCATGTCCTTTGCCCACTTTTTAATGGAGTTGTCTTTTGCCTGTAAATTTGTTTAAGTTCCTTATAGATTCTAGATATTAGACCTTTTTCAGATACATAGTTTGAAAATATTTTCTCCCCTTCTCTAGGAATGTTGGTTTATTCTGCTGATAGTTTCTTTTGCTGTGCAGAAGCTCGCTAATTAGGTCCTGTTTGTCAGGGTTTGTTTTTGTTGCAACTGCTTTTGGAGTCTTCATCATGAAATCTTTGCCAGGGCCTGTGTCCAGAATGGTGTGTCCTAGGTTATCTTTCAGGGTTTTTATAGTTTTAGGTTTTGCATTTAAGTCTTTAATCCATTTTGAGTTGATTTTTATGTACAGTATAAAGAAGGGATCCAGTTTTAATCTTCTGTATATGGCTATCCAGTTATCCCAGCAGTATGTTGAATAGGCAGTCTTTTCACCATTGCTTGTTTTTGTCAGCTTTGTCAAAGATCAGATGGTGGTAGGTGTGAGGCATTATTTCTGGTCTCTCTATCCTGTTCCATTGGTTCTATCCTGTTCCATTGGTATCTGTTTTTGTACCAGTACCATGCTATTTTTTGGTTACTGTAGCCTTGTAGTATAGTTTGAAATCAGGTAGTATAATGCCTCCAGCTTTATTCTTTTTACTTAGAATTGCTTTGGCTATTTGGGCCTTTTTTTGTTTTGTTTTGTTTTGTTTGTTTGTTTTTGTTGTTGTCGTTGTTCCATATGAATTTTAGAATGTTTTTTTCTAATTCTTTGAAGAATGTCATTGGTAGTTTGATAGGAATAGCATTGAATCTGTAGATTGCTTTGGACAATATGGACATTTAACAGTATTGATTCTTCCAATCCATGAGCATGGAATACTTTTCCCTTTGTTTGTGTCATCTCTGATTACTTTGAGCAATGTCTTGTAATTCTCATAGTAGAGATCTTTCACCTCCTTGATTAGCTGTATCCCTAGGTACTTTTTTCTTTTTGTGGCTATTGTAAATGGAATTGTGTTCTTGATTTGGCTCTCAGTTTGAATGTTACTGGTGTATAGAAATGCTCTTGATTTTTGTACATTGATTTTGTATCCTGAGAGTTTGCTGAAGTTGTTTATCAGATCTAGGAGCTTTGGGGGCAGAGACTGGGGTTTTCTAGATATAACATCATATAGTCTGAAGAGAGATGGTTTGACTTCCTCTTTCTATTTGAACGCCTTTTATTTCTTTCTCTTGTCTGATTGCTCTGGCTGGGACCTCCAGTAAGTACTATGTTGAATAGGAGTGGTGAAAGTGGGCATCCTTGTTCCAGTTCTATAAGGGAATTCTTCCAGCTTTTGCCCGTTCAGAATGATGTTGCTGTGGGTTTGCCATAGATGACTTTTACTATTTTGAGATATGTTCTTTCAGTGCCTAATTTGTTGAGGGCTTTTAACATGAAAGGGTGTTGAATTTTATCAGAAGCCTTTTTTGCATCTTTTGAGATGATCATATGGTTTTCTATTTTTAATTCTGTTTATGTGGTGAATCACATTTATTGATTTGCATCTGGGAACCAACCTTGCATCTCAGGAGTAAAGTCTACTTGATTGATTGTGGTGAATTAACTTTCTGATATGCTGCTGGATTCAGCTTGCTAATATTTTGTTGAGGATTTTTGTGTCTGTGTTCTTCAAGTATATTGACCTGCAGTTCTATTTTTTTCATTGTGTCTCTGCTAGTTTTTGGTATCAGAATGATGTTGGCTTCATGGAATGAGTTAGGGAGGAGTCTTTTCTTTCTCGATTTTTCAGAATGTTTTCAGTAGGATTGGTACTACCTCTTTTTTGTACATCCTAGTAGAATTCAACTGTGAAATCCGTCTAGTCCAAGGCTTTTTTGGGTTGGTAGGTTGTTTATTACTGATTCAGTTTTGGAACTCATTATTGGTCTTTTTAGGGATTCAGTTTCTTCCTCATTCAATCTTCAGAGGTTGTGTGTTTCCAGGAATTTATCCATTTCTTTTAGGTTTTCTAGTTTGTGTGCATGTAAGTGTTAGTCTGAGGATTTTTTGTATTTCTGTGGAGTCAGTTGTATGTCACCTTTGTAATTTCTGATTGTGATTATTTGGATCTTTTCTCTTACTTTCTTTGTTAATCTTGCTACCAGTCTATCGATCTTGTTTTTTCTTTTAAAGAACCAACTTTTGGTTTCATTGCTCTTTCGTATGCATTTTTGCATCTCAATTTCATTCACTTCTGCTCTGATTTTGGTTCTTTTTTTCTGCTAGCTGTGGGGTTGGTTTCCTTTTGTTTTTCTGGTTCCTCCAGGTGTGATGTTAGGTTGTTAATTTGAGCTCTTTCTAACTTCTTGACATAGGTATTAAGTCTGGTATGTTGTGTCTCTGTATTCCTTAGTTTTAAATCGTTTTTTGATTTCTCTCATAATTTCATTCTTTACCCAAAAGTCATTTGGAAGAAAGTTAAGTACCATATAATTCTATGGTTTTGAGAAACCTTCTTGGTATTGATTTGTAGTTTTATTGTACTGTAGTGTGAGGGTATGGTTGGTATGATTTCGATTTTTTTGACTATGTTGGCACTTGTTTTATGGCTAAGCATGTGGTTAATCTTAGAGAATGTGTCTTGTGCCAATGAGAAGAATGTATATTCTTGTGTTGTTGAATGAAGTATTCTGTAGATGTCTATTGGATCTAGTTTGTTAAATGTTGAGCTTAAGTCCAGAACATTTTTGTTAGTTTTCTGCCTCGGTGATCTGCCTGACACTATCAGTGGGGTGTTGAAGTCTTCCATTGTGTAGTTATCTAAGTAGGTCTCTAAGAACTTGTTTTCTAAATCTAGATGCTCCAATGTTGGGTACATATATCTTTAGCATAGTTTAGTCTTCTAGATGAATTGAACCCTTCGTCATTATGTAATGCCCTTCTTTGTCCTTTTTGACCATTGTTAGTTTATAATCTGTTTTATCTAATATAGGACTAGCAACCCTTGTTCTTTTTTGTTTTCCATTGCTTGATAAGTCTTTCTCCATACCTTTACTTTGAGTCTCTGTATGTTGTTACATGTGAGATGGTTCTCTTGAAGAAAACAGACAGTTGGGTCTTGCTTCTTTGTCCAGCTTGCCACTTTGCCTTTTTAGCCCATTTACATTCAAGGTTACTATTGATGTGTGGGGATTTAATCCTGTCATCATGTTGTTAGCTGCTTGTTATGTAGACTTCATTGTATAGTTGCTTTATAGTGTCAGTGGACTATATGCTTAAGTGTGTTTTTGTGGTGGCAGTTATTTTTCTTTCATTTCCACAAGTAGCACTCCTTAAAGGACCTCTTGTAAGGCAAGTCTGATGATAGTGAATTCCTTAGTCTTTGCTTGTCTGAAAAGGATTTTCTGTCTCCTTCACATATGAAGCTTAGTTTGGTGGGACATGAAATTTTTGGTTGGAATTTCTTTTCTTTAAGGATGCTTAAAAATAGGTCCCCAGCCTCTTCTGGCTTGTAAGGTTTCTACTGAAAGGTCCACTGTTAACCTGATGCGGTTCCCTTTACTGCCCCTTTTCTCAAGCTCCATTTAAGATTTTTTTCTTTTGCATTGACCTTGGAGAATCTGATGATTAAGTGTTTTAGGGATGGTCATCTTGTATAGTATCTTGTGGGGAGTCTATGAATTTCTTGAGTTTGCACATCAACTTCTGTAGCAAGATTGGGATAATTTTTGTGGACTGTTTCCTCAAATACATTTTCCAGGTTGCTTACTCTCTCTCCTTTTCTTGCAGTAACACCAGTGAGTCATAGGTTTAGTCTCTTTACATAATCCCCTATTTATCAAAGATTTTGCTTATTTTAAAAATTTTTTTCTTTATTGTGGTCTCTGTTAATTTGAAGGAGTACTCTTCGAGTTCTGAGATTCTTTCCTTGGTTTGGTCTATTCTGTTGTTAATGCTTCCAATTGTATTATGAAATTCCTAGGCTGGGCGCTGTGGCTCTCGCCTGTAATCCTAGCACTTTGGGAGGCTGAGGCAGGCAGATCACTTGAGGTCAGGAGTTCGGGACCAGCCTGGCCAATATGGTGAAACCCCGTCTCTACTAAAAATAAAAAAATTAGCCGGGCACGTCGGTGCACACCTGTAGTCCCAGCCACTACTGTAGTCCCAGCCACCAGCGAGGCTGAGACAGGAGAATCGCTTGAACCTGGGAGGCAGAGGTTGCAATGAGCCGATATCATGCCAGTGCACTCCAACCTGGGCAACAGAGCAAGACTCCATCTCAAAAAAAAAAAAAAAGAAGAAGGAAAGAAAAGAAAAAGAAATTCCTAGAGTGAATTTTTTAATTCCAGCAGTTCAATTTGATTCTTTCTTAAAATGGCTGTGTTGTCTTTCAACTCTTGGATTGTTTTACTGTTTTCCTTAAATTGGGTTTCACTTACTCTTGTATCTCACTGAGTTTCCTTGCTATTCAGATTCTAAATCCTATGTCTGTCATTTCAGTCATTTCAGTCTGGTTAAGAACCATTGCTGGGAAGCTATTGTAGTTGTCTGAAGGTAAGAAGACACTGTGGTTTTTAGAGTTGCTAGAGTTCTTGCATTGGTTCTTCCTCATCTGTGAGGGCTGATGTTCCTTTATCCTTTGAAGTTGCTGACTTTTGGGTGGTGGTATTTGTTCTTATGTTCTTTATTTCCCTTCAGGGTTCGACTGTGGTCTAAGTTGGGTATAGTCAATTGACTTCATTTCTGGATGCCTTCAGAGAGCCAAGGTTCAGCTTGGCACTCCTGGGCTGTGTGCTGTAACTCCCAAGGGGCTGGGACCAGGCCCCTGGCTTTTTCCTCTGGCCTCTTGAGGTCAACCACCAGCTGCACTGGGTGGACCAAGGTGCTCCCAGGCTACTGGCAAAACCTCTCCATCAGGGGTTACTGGCAAAAGCACTTCCTCAGGGGTCACTAGTGAAAGTGTTCTGGTAGGTTAGTGGGGGCCACTGGTAAAAGCACTGTGGTGACAGTCACCTGCAAAAGCATTCCAACAGAATAGTGGAAGCTGCACTGTGTGCCTGCTCTCATGGGAGTGGCCGAACAGGGACCTTGGAAGGGGCCAGCAGACAACGGGACATGCAGCTCAGACTCACCCTAGTCTCATGGGAAAGACAGCTCTGTTCTCTCCAAATATGACAGTTAACAAAGGTCAGAGCTACCTGGAGGAGTATGAAGGGCCTTGATGGGTGGGCACCTATGGCCATGTTCCTTTGCAGCTTTCCCCACACCATACCCCCTGTGCTCCATGTAGACCTAAGCTCTGTCTCTGCCAGCTCTCCAGGCAGTTCTCCCTGGCAACTCAAATATCCAGGAGGATCATGGGATCTCCTGCCACTAGGATCCCAGCGGTTTGTGGTGAGAGTGGGCCATTCCACAGTTACTCTACTCACCCCTTCCTTAGGAGCTATTCAGGAGTGAGTCCCAGCACTCCATAACCCTGTGCAGGGTTCCTAGCTTCTTTGCTTTTCAACCCTGGTTCTGCATCATCTCTCCACCCACTCTCAGTGCATCCTCTCAGGAGATAGGCTTGGAGTATGCTGGTCTACTAGATACTCAGATCTCTCTTGGTGGGAGAAACTCTTCCCGGCTATGTCTAGTTGGCCATCTTGTCCCGATCCCAAGGCCGTTTTTTAAAAATATTGTTGGAATGGGCTTTGTTCTCTCATAATTTTTATTGTTTCAAATATATATGAAACACTAATAGCAGTATTTGGTACCATTTTTAGCAACCTCCATAAAGAACATGAAATGCCATAGAGCAAAAATTATTTTTTTGCCTTGTCAAGTTAGTGTCTGGGGCAGATTGAAAGAAACAGATCTGGCTTTGTCTAGACTAAGCCTTTCAGAATTCACTTCATTTCTATACATTTTCTTTAAATGTAATTTAGGGTATTAAGACTCTCTCTTTTTTTAAATCTCAGATTCCAAGATGAATATAGATAATATATACATATACCAGCTTAAAGGTTCAATTTCTTTTACTGTATTAGTGAATATTTCTGTGGAACAAGTCAACCAGATGTGTATAAATGTTTGTTTCTATACTTAAAAGAATTAGAACAGTGGCAAATTTATAAGTAGAACCTGTGAAAGTTTTAGTAGAAAACTCTGACTCAAATGCAAAATACCTTAAACCACATTCAGGCAACTTAAAAAGAAATGAAACTTTTACTTTACTTAAATATGAGTTTTTTGTTTTTTGTTTTCTGTTTTTTTTGAGACAGAGTTTCACTCTTGTTGCACAGCCTAGAGTACAATGATGTGATCTTGGTTCACTGCAACGTCTGCCTCCCAGGTTCAAGCCATTCTCCTGCCTCAGCCTCCTGAGTAGGTGGGATTACAGGCACTCACCACACGCCCAGCTAATTTTTGTATTTTCAATAGAGATGGGGTTTCACCATGTTGGCCAGGCTGGTCTTGAACTCCTGACCTCAAGTGATCCGTCTGCCTCAGCCTCCCAAAGTGCTGGGATTACAGGCGTGAGCCACCGTGCCCGGCCAAATATGAGTTTTTTATAATCAGGCCTGAAAATGTGTACTTTAAGCACTTGAGCATTTGTGTTGTATTTGATTTACAATTCAGTCACGATTATATTGTCCAACATAATTTTTTATTCAGAAGCTGCCACTTGTAACATGTTCATGTTTTTGCGTATAATAGGTTTCAGAGAGAGGTTGCTAAAGTGTGAGAGCTGTTCAACTGTCTTAAGGACAGAAAAGACCACTGACATATGAATACCTCTACCAGTACAACTTTGGAAAACTGGTTTTGAGGATTTGTTTTAACTAGTGAAACTCTAATAAGGAATTTTGTTCTTCTGTACTTACTTTCATCATGATTTTACAAATAAATTCTTAGTAATGTTTGTTATAAAATTATTTTTGCTGATTTTAAAAATGTGCACCTAGGAATTTTTGTAATATGTAATGAGAAAATAAATAATGACAAGTGTATCTGGAATCTCACCCTACCAGAGTCATAGTCTTGCTCTATTCGTTTATTCATTCAGTAAACGTATACTGAGCCCCCTGTGTTAGACAAGAAAGATACTGTCTCTGCCCCTTCTCCTGTATAGATGTCATTTTACTAGAAAGACTGTTAACTCATTTCAGTGATTTTCTCTTGAAAATGTTCTAGCATGTTAATTATTCATAAACTATTGAAGCTCCTTATATCAAGTTCCTTTTAAAAGATACTTAAGTGGAAAGATTTGGGCTTGCCTAAATAACAAGGAAAGATAAGAAATACTCCTTTGAAAAACAACTTTTAAACTCAGTTTTTAATGCTTTTATTTTTTAGGTTCCTACAAACTTGATGACTTTTGAGTAGAAGCCTGAGAAAAAAAAAGAGAGGTGAACTATTGCTTCTATGTGAGCATGGGGACCTGATAAAAGAGCGCCAGCTATAAACCATCCTGTGCCAGGAAGAGCCCAGCGGCTCTGTCTCAGTCTTTGGAATTCTGAACCAAAAAAGCACTAATTTCAGGGAATGAATTGAGATATTCCCAGAGAACAAATTGGAGTTGCAGAACAAACTGCCATGAACCGTGCTTCTTATCTCAGAACTGACCTGTGGAAACCACTGCCTTAAAAGAATGAAAGGAAAACCAACATGAAACACCAAATAGTGTGTGTGAATCTTCTGGCGGTGCTGTGCTTGGAATAGATCGTAGCTAATTTGCATTTCTTTTAACTTTGTAATAATTTTAGAGGGGGGAATTGCCTTTTTTAGATATGCTTTAAAAAGGAAAAACGTATTCTTGCGGATTCCATCAGGAGCTGGTTTTGAACCGAGGTGAAGAGACTTAGCAGGGATTGTACCAGCAGCCCACCTGCAAGGTTTGTTCTCCCTCTAGTAGTCTGCAGCCTCACTGGCTTTCTCACAGCGAGAGTGTAGGAATGAGAAGTGTTAGTCATGTGAGTTGTTGGGTTTGTTTGGGATTGGGTGGGGGTGTTTGTTTTGTTTTGGATGAGGGGAGAATTTTTTAAACACTAAACTTCTGAAATGTAGTACTGTAAGGGGAACATTATTTCCTGCAGGAGGTACAAAGGCTGAGTGTTCATTTGCCAGACACTTTTTTTTAAGTAGGTTCCAGAAAACATGGTTTTTTCTAACTAGGGTTAAAGTTTAGCTTTCTATATGAATTCATTGTTGGACCACGGATCTACTTAAGTAAAGAACTATAATCCCAACCTTAATTTTCTGAGATTTTACAATAATTAGATCTTTTCCCAAGTTAATTGGATTTTCCCTTCTCCCAGTCACAGGTGGTTTTTATCATCAAGACACATTGATATTTTGTCAGGATATTTTCTTCACAGTGTTTAATGTGCATAATGCCAGAGTTATTTTTTTATTATTCATTTTCTCTCTTTTTGTTCAATATGAGATACAGGATCATATTTGTTTAAAAGGTAACACATATAGATGTACGTATGTATTTTGTTATAAGACATACAGAATAATTTTAAGAGGGATAAAGGTGAAAATGTCAGATTCTGGAAATTTTGAGTATCTAAACTTTATACTTCTTGTGTGATTTACCATAAACATACCAAAACATTTTTCTGAAAATTTACTGTAGTAGGTCTCTGACTTGAAGCCACATTTTGTCAGTAGTTGACCAAGCAGTTTTATGAGAACTCTTCTATGCAATAATGCATTTAATTTCTAAAGTAAATGTCAAATTATTTTTTAAAAAAGTTTGAAGGTGAGATGCCTTAGAATTTTAACGAAAAATGACACTCAAACAAAGGCTATGTGTTGAATGTTATAAACTCTTGAGACATAATAAATTTTAGCAGTGGCCCAGAGTAAGGTAATGCTTTGTGACCGATATCTACTAATAGACATCTGTTACTTTGGGCTTCACATAAAATTTCTCACATTCATATTCTTAGAGAATTTTATACTTTTTTATTATAAGTATTTTGCCCTTGAGTCCATGAAACTTCAATCGAAAATATTGCTTATACAATAATTAGCTTAAAATCCATCCAAAGGAAAAGAGAAGAGCTTTTTTTGAGTGTTAAGTTTTTTAATTTAGTTTTATGTTTGGAAAAGATGTTAAGAGTTCAAATATGCTTCTTGTATAGCAGAAATACCATTATTTCTGGGGGTTAGTGACATAGGCTGGAGAGGGCAAAAGTTTCCTGTGCTGAATGATTTTTCAATTAATGCTCTAAGCTTAACCCATGTTGGGTAATAGAAAGGCACCACCTGCTTAGCCAGCAGTATTACTACGTAGACCTTGCACATCTTACTTTTGTTTTGCATTTTTTAAAATTTCTTAATTTGTTTATTTCTCTTCAGAAATAGTGTTTTTAACAGTGTATGTGCTTTTTTAAAAAGTATTGTGAATGAGAACCCTGTGGATTTTTTTTTATTTCATTTGTTTGTCATAAATAAGCTAACGTAGACATATTGTAGGTTAACCATATCTGGGGAAATATGCAGTTGGAAGTCAGAGCCTGACATCACATAGTTTTGCCAAAGGGAGAGAGCTAAGCTGGAAGATGTGTTTGATATTTTCAGCTCTAAACATTAGTGGATGCTTGCTTTGAATAATATAGTGTTCAAATTTGGTTAATAGTTTGTAGATAGACTTGTGGCCTCGGACTGACTAAATTTCTTAACAGTGAAGAAGTCATTGTTGTTTTTCTGTCTTTAAAATTTATTCATTCAAAAAATTAGGCATTGCTTTTTAAGGTTATTTTAGCATTTGAAGTAAATTGAGAACAGAAAAGTGAGTTAAAATAGTGTAGGTGAATTTTTTATCTATAATTCACCAAATAATAACTGATAATAATTCAAAGAAAATATGTTACTAAAATATATTAAATATTTAGATAGTTCATTCGTGGGAAGATGAATCTTCTTATTAAGCCTACCCTCAATTGTAAATAAGTGACTCAAAAGCTCAAAATGTTCATCAGCATTAAGGTCATTTGTTTCGCCGTTAGCCAAGAAGAACTCATTAGAAATTCAGTTGTAATTTAAATTTAAGCCTGTTTATGATAAGCATAATGATTGGCATGTTACACAGCCTGTGAAAATAACTACAGAATGACCTTCCAGAGCACTGTTTTTGGCCTCATGCCTGCTCTGTTCAGGCTCTGCTGTTTTTCAGAATATGATTTTTACCTCCAGACAGTAAGAATTGAACAAGAACTGATCAAACACGCCTTCCTATTTTGTTTTCTTCACTATGTAAATATTATTTGGGTAAACATTACAAGAAGGGATCCAAACAATTTGAATTTCAGTATTTTTTTCTCCCTGGGCATGTGCTTCAATTTCAAATATTTTTTCTGTGTGGAAAATGCCAGGTAACTATTGCACTACCTTCTATGTGGACTGTGTTGGTATTGGTTCTTAATGTATATCAAAAGTCAGGGTGTTTATAACTGCAAAGTTTGTGTAAGTGGCTTTATTCCTCTTCTAGAAGATTTATGAGGAGCCTAGGAAGCACTATTGGTACAGGAGGAAAAAAGAATGGAAAACATGTTTACAGACTCCTTATGAGCTTAAACTGGGGCCCCCAAAGAGCAACCTGTTGATCTTTTGGCCAAATGACTTGAGCATAAGTCTTTTATTTCTTTTTGAAGTTAAATTGTAAGCTGTATACCTTTACTACTGAAAACAAAACTATAGGGCATCATACTAATCGAAAATCAATAGTAACAGGTTTAATCCATTGGCTTTTTAAATGAATAGATCTAGTATTGATTTCCTTCCTGTTTTTTTGAGGCACATTCCTTTACAACCAGTTTTTAAACCACCACGTAATCATCTTCTGCAAACAAGGGGTACCAGTGTTGCCTAACAGAAGATAATCTTTAATAAAGTAAATCCTCTGCTTCAAAGGCTTTTGAAATAATTGGATCCCTTTTTGAAAATGAAGATGAGTTTAACTGTGTCCAGGTGGAATAATAATACTGCTGTTGCATGAGGTGATACAAAGCAAGTGATGAGGTTGGTCTGGCTTCTTTAGTGACCTTTTAGGGTTTGCTTTTATTTTCTCTCTTTTGTATTATTTCTTTCAAACATAGTAAATATATGATTTTTGCAGCCAGAGTGGTATTCTGTTTTTTCTAAGCTTTGAGATACAAATATTGCTATTTTATTGCATTGATGATAAATTACTTTCCATGTGAACCTTTTCAAAATGATTTAAGTACCTTTGATTTTGCTCCCCTAAAAATGGCTTGTGTCTAAAATGACATTTTTTTTCCCCAATTTGGAGGGTTCTAATGAAAGAGTTCCAGGCATAAAAACTCTTTTGCTTATTGAAAGCAATTTGATTACACCTTTGTCTCAAGTTTTAGTGGGGAGAAAATTTGGTCAGTGCCTTATTATTTGAAGAGCAATTTTAGGGCATCAAGTATGACAATAATCACGTGCCCTCTTGCTCCTCTTATTTCAGGAGTGTGTGCTATCCCTCTCTCCACCAGCTTAATCTTTCTCACCCCAAGTCTAACAAAGTCTTTACAGAAACCCCTGTAGGTAATTGTTTCAGTCCTCCTTGGTTTTTGAGTCTTTTTAAACAAGCTCCCACCCTGCTTCTGTCCTTTTAGAGTAGAAGATTAAAAATAAATCCACCCCAGTCAACCTTTAGATAAGCACTCTTAAAAACGAATTTGAAGAGCACTCTTCAGCCAAGTTCGGTTTTACTTTGTTGTTGATGTTTTGAGCATACATTTAATTGTAAGGCCTTTTGGAAAAGCCCTAAAAGAATAAGATACAACCAGAAATACTTGAGTTTTGTTAAATGTACTGAAATCTTGTAATAAAAATCCCTTTGGCCAGAAATGAGATTTATTTCCATTTATTTTTACATTTAAGTAACACTCAAAACAAACAAGTAGTCACTTAACCTGCCAGTTATTATTTTCTTGAAAATATGCAAGAAAGTAAAAATATCTCTTATATAAATTAAAAGGAAGTTAAGAGATTAAGCTAGTTTTCTCAGTGAAAGCAAAGCTTGGAAATATTTTTCTTCTCTCAGATTATTGGGAGACCTGGAGCCTACCGGATGTTAACCTGAGTCAAGATGTTCTTTTCACATTTTTTTAAAGGGCTAGTATGTTCTACAGTAGGCAAGTAGTCATTCAAGCCAAGTGAAAGAGTTAACTGGTCCTTGAGGATTGTTAGCAGAATTTGAATTTTGACCCTGGCCATTTGTACTACAGAAGTGATGGTGGGATTAAAAGAATACATAATTACAGTGTTTCGGGATTGGGCTCTTTTTTGTCTTAATAGAAAAGCAGAAACTTCATAAATATTAGCCGTGCTTTAGATACCAGATAACAAATATTGTTTCCCCTGAAGATATGACCTACTAGAACTACTCACATATATATAGTCCAGTCATTACTGACTTAATAGTTATGGTGAAACAGCTGATAATAAGTCAGCAGACTCTCAAGAGTTTCTGTACCTTGATTATTGACAAATTCATTGTTTTACATCCTACCGAAGTACATGTGTGTGGGGAAGGGGTGGGGAACTGGTTCACAATATAATCTAAAGGAGATCAAACATCTGTAGGGACAGGTACCCAGTGATAATAATATATCTGAAAACACAAGCCATTTTTATTCTTTATCCCAAGTAACTTGAGGTACTCTAATGATGAAGCACTCGATTGCACTATGACCTCCTTGAGTGATGTGCAGCTTGGTTCCTCTCTCACTTTTTGTTTCTTTTTAATATGCAAATGTGAGTGTGCGATCTTCAGTGTGTCTGCATAAGCTAACTTAAAATGAATTTAAGTACAGTTTTCTGAAATATTTCTATTGAAATAAATTACTTAAAATCATAGATTGTGTGAGGATGTTTCTGTTACTGTATTTGCATTTTTATCATTAACTTTTAAGGTGCAAATAAACTTTAAGTTGATTTTTTCCCCTTTCTAAGGTAGTCAGCAAGGCTATTGTTGGTACAGGGAAGGTTCTGAAAAAACTTTAGTTACTCTTCTCTAGCCCAAGACAAGAATGTGCCACCTCGCATGTGGACAAATGGGGTTGTGGGGAATAGAGAGTAAGGGCAGAACATTTCCAACTACATCTCCCGCTCTGAGTATGTGATACGATAGCAGTAGTCCCCAAAGAGGCTCTCTTTGCTAATACATAACATTTTTTTTCTTTTTACCATTTCTGAAAACAATCCATCTTCCAACCCATGGAGCTTTAAATTGGAAGAGGTACAGAAACACCTGTGTGGAGTCTGCTGTAGGCTTTTGGCTGGGTATTAGTTATGCTTGAGGATTCCACTTTAGCTTAGCCACTGCATGGTTTAGGAACCGCCATCCAAGACAAGCCCAATATTTTGGCAAACCGTAATTCAGTTTTCAGCAGTTTTCTCACCTCCATAGTGCCCTTTGAAAATTCTCACTGTCCCTTTGCTTGCACCAAAAGAGGAGAATGACACTTCTTTGATGGGGCCAACCTGTCGTTACCTCATCTAGTACCACCTTTGTCATACATCAGTTTCCCATGTATGCAGAATTTCCTAGGTCCCCTTTCCTATTTCAATAGTTGTTTGTCCCAACCAATACCATATTGTCTTCATTACTATGTAGCTGTATAAGTTGGTATCTGGTGAGCTAATTGTATGTTCTTCAAAATTACCTTAGCTCTTCTTGATTTTGTCTTTGCTGTAAATTCTGGGATCAGTTTGTTATGCTCCATGAAAACACTGTTGTTATTTTTATTGAAATTACTTTGGATTTATAGGTTAATTTGAGAATTAACAGTTTTGAAAAATTTACTCCTTTCATCTGTAAACATGTCTCTCCATTTATTTAGGGTTTTTAATGTCCTTCAGTAGTGTTTTACAGTTTTCTCCCGAGTAGTCTCTTAACATTTTTTATTAGTTTATGTCTAAGTAAGTTAGTTTTTCTTTCTATTGTGAATACGACGTTTTTGTTACATTTCCTCATTGATTATTGTGTATAGGGATGTCATTGGTCTTTATGTTGATCCTTACATCTAGCAACTTTGTTGAACTCCCTTACCTAGTTATAATGGTTTGTCCAGAGATCTGTTGGAATTATATTAGCGGCAAATAAGAATAGTTGTGTCTTTCCAATCTTTGTACCTTTTTTTCTTGTTTTACCCTTCTTTGGCTAGGACTCCAGTACAATATTGGATTAGAAACAGTGGTAGAATGCCAAAGAACTTAATTACCCAGTCTCCTCAGAAAACCTCAGAATATAACACAGCCCTAGAATGAACCCCAAGTATGTTATAGTGTAGCCCAAGTATAATCTTTATTGTATTTTTAGGCCCACCATCCACTTAAATTTCTCCTTTTTCTTGTAAAGTATGTTTATAGTCTTAGGCAGAAAATAAGTGGCATTTGCTCTCAGCTACCACTTATCAGTCAAAACTAAATAAAATAGTGGGTCACAGGGATATTGCAAAATTTAGAGTATCTGCGTGTAATTAATTTTCTTACTCTATGTAACTGATTCTCAACTGGAAGTGATTTTGTCCCCTAGGAGATACTTGTCAGTGTCGACAGACATTTTTGGTTGTCACAACTGGGAGAGGGTTCTTCTGGCATTTAGTAGGTAGAGAGGTAAGGGATGCTGCTAAACATCCTACGATGTACAGGCTACCCCCCAACAAAGAATTATCTGTTCCAAAATGTCAGTAATAACAAGGTTGTGAAATCCTGCTCTATGTGAGTGACTTATTGTATCTCATAAGTTGAATATATTGAGCTTGGTTGTAGGAAAGAGTTCAGTTAACTTTTTGCTGGAAGTTAACCTTTCTTACAGAAGTTTAACCTACTGGCCAGAGGGGATAAATTAATAGAATGGGAATATATTCATGGCCTGGACCATAATGTGTTATTCTTCAAGTATTTGTTGAGTTAAAAGCTACATGTTTCAACCTAAAATAGATTTTAGGGGACATTCTAAATGAGTGCAGACCTGCAGATACGTTTGTCTACCTCTGTGTGATTATTCCAAGTCTGAAAAGATAACCCCAATAGCAGTAGGACAAAATAGGTTATCAATATGTCAGGCTGCATTGTTTATTTGACTAATCTGAGCTTTAATTAAACCAGAAGGTATTTACTTTTTGTTCTTAGAATAGTGTTATATCCACATTATAAAAAGTTCAATTACAGAATAACTATAGAGTAAAAAATGCATGTCTCACCTATCAAATTCCCATCTCCAAATTTAATAAAAACATCTGTCTTTGACTCAATTCCTGTAATCCTAGCCTAGTTTCTTTCAGTCTCAGGCTCTGAAGGTTGATTTTTCACCTCCCTCAAACCTTTGCCCAATCTAAGACCCTTAACATATACTCTAGTGCTGTCAGAGCTAAAAGCATAAAAATAATAGTCCTTACTCCACATAGACTTGTGATGCAGTGGTTACATTATTTTTTATTTGGTCGAATTAGCTGTAAAAATGATTATAAGAGAGTACTTAGAACAAATATATGCCAACAAATTGAATAACCTAGAAAATGGACAAATTTCCAGAAACTCAAAATGTACCAAGATAAAATCACAAAGAACATCTGAAGAGACCTATAACTAGTAAGGAGCTTATAGATCAGTAATCAGAAACCTCCCAAAAAAGAAAGACCGTGAACCTGATGGCTTCATGGTGAATGATAAAACATTTAAAGACAAATTAGTACCAATCCTTCTAAAATTTTTGCAAAAAATTAAAGCTGAGGGAACACTTCCTAATTTATTCTATGAGGCTAGCATTATCCTGATACCAAAGTCCGACGCAGACACTGCAAGAAAACCACAGACCAGTATCTATTATGAGCAATTTATGCAGAAATACTTAACAAAACACTATAGTTTTACTTTCAGCAGCATATTACAAGGATTATATAACATGACTGAGTGGGATTTATTCCTGAAATGCAAGGATGGTTCAACATGAAAATCAGTGTAATACACCATATTAACAGAATGAAGGAAAAAAATCTCAGTGGATGCAGAAAAAGCATTTGACAAAATTCAACACCCTTTCATGATTAAAAAAATAATAACAACAAACTAATAGATTGTACCTCAACATAATAAAAGCCATATATGGAAAACCCACAGCAAATACACTGAATGGTGAAAGACTGAAAGCTTTTCCTCTGAGATCAGGAACAAAGCAAGAATGTACACTTTCACCACTTCTATTGAACATGGTACTGAAAGTTCTAGCCATAATTGGAAAGGGAAAGATAAAATTATCTCTGTTCACAGATGATATGATTGTATATGTAGAAAACCCTAAAGATTACACATACACACTATTAGAACAAATAAATGAACCCAGCAAAGTAGCAGGATACAAAGTCAACACAAAAGTCAGTCACATTTCTATATGCTAACAATGAGCTATCTGAAAATTACAAAATTCTATTTACTAAAGCATCAAAAAGAATAAAATAGGAACTAACTTAACCAAAGAGGTAAAATATTTGTGCAATGAAAACTGTAAAACATTGCCAAAAAAAATTAAAGGCAAATAAATGGAAACATATCGCCTGCTCCTGGATTGAAAGACAGTATTGTTTAGATGTCAGTACTACCCAAATCAATGTATAGATTCAATGCAATCCCTATTATAGTGTTTTCTACAGAAATAGAAAAATAGAAAACCCCATTCTAAAATTCATATGGAATCTCAAGGAACCCCTAATAACCAAAACATCTTTAAAAAGAACAAAGCTGGAAGACTTATTTTCTGATTTCAAAACTTACTACAAAGCTACAGTAATCAAAGTACTGTGGTACTAGCGTAAAAACATAAACCTACAGGATAGAGTAGAGAGCCCAGAAATAAACCCTCGCATATATGGTCAAATGATTTTTGACAGGGTGCCAAGACACCCATAAGGAAAGGAGTCTTTTCAAATGGCGCTGGGGAACTGTATATCCACATGCAAAAGAATGAAGTTGGATGCTTACCTAACACTGTATACAAAAATTAACTCAAAATGAATCAAAGACCTTAATGTAAGACCTAAGTCTATAAGTCTTACTGAAGATGACATAGGGCAAAAGCTTCACATCATTGAAATTGGCAGTGACTTTATAGATATGACACTAAAGGCACAGGCAACAAATTGGACTTAATGAAAATTTAAGATGTGTGTCATGGACAATATAAACAGTAAGAAAGCCACCCACAGAACGAGAGAAGGCATATGCAAATCATCTAGCTGATAAGGGATTAATACCCAGAATGTATAGAGAACTGAAACTCAGCAACAGAAATAATTCAGAAATGGGCAGAGAACTTGAATACACATTTCTCTGAAGAAGACTGCCAATAAATACATTTTTAAAGATGCTTAAGTATCAGTAATAATTAGGGAAATGCAAATCAAGGGTACAGTGAGATACCACATCCCACCCATTGGGATGGCTACTATCAAAAAATAAGTAAACTAGTATTTGGTGAGGATGTAGAGAAATTTAAAGACCTGATTGGATTGTTAAAGGTAAAGCTACAAAGGCAGTAAAAGGAAATCTCTGTGAACCTGGATGGGAAAGAACTTAAATCCCTCAAAGCCCTTCCGTAAATACAAAAACAGGGTTCCTGTTCAATTGACAACACAAAGTTAACAGACTGGTGAAAATTTGGAAGAAAACTTTTGGAGTTTGTAAGAGCAAAATATTAATGTCAAGAAGATACAGGACATTTTTGCAAAATAAAATGAGAAAAATGGGCAAACGGATATGAACAGACTATTTATAAAGGGAAGTCTAAATCATGAAAAAAATACTCAACCTCACTAGTAGAGAAGTGCAAGGTGAGAGCTGTCATGTTATATATGT